TCTTCTACTGTTTTATTTAGAAAGTCCAATTTAATTGCAGAAAACATTTTATCATTTCATTCATTTTTTACCATGGAATAGAGGAGATACACTATTCATCATCTAAAGGTGACGCTTGGGCGCCTGGGTGGCTCAGATGGTTAAGCGTCTGCCTTTGACTCAGGTCATGATCCCAGGGTCCTGGGATCGAGTCCTGCATCAGGCTCCCTGCTCCTTGGGAGCCTGCTTCTCCCTCTGCCTCTCTCTCTCTCTCTGTCTCTCATGAAATTAAAAAAAAAAAAAAAGTTTAAAGGTGACGCTTGGCATGAGCAATAGTTTGGGTCAAAAATTATTGCTTCCAGAAGTACATTTTGTAAACTGACCTCTAAAGAGCAGAACATGAATGAAATGCCTCAATGAAAGTAATTTTTTTTCATTTGGATACTGATGCAATTGTCAAATATTGCCATATTTTTCAAACTTACCTGATATGGTTGCTACTAGAACTAACGTCCCGTTTTCCCTCCAGTGAATATCATCAATTCCTTCAAAAAAGCAGGCAGCTCCTTGATTACACCAGAAAGGGGCGTTCATTTCAGGTCGGAGATGGGGAAATGTACAGTTTCCAAGTTGGAAAAGTTCATACCATTCCATTGTGTAGTTCTTGCCAGTTAAAGTACTCTTGAATCCAATGGCATCATGCATAATTTTCTGTGTAAAGATCATACATGTATAAAAGCACCTGTGAAGGAACCACTGGCCCAGGAACCAAATGGGAGAAAATGTAATACACCATGACTGTCTATCAACTACAGCAACTGCTCAGCCATTCTTCCTCCATTTGCTATTCTTGCGTCCATGCTGTGGCTCCTCAAAGCCCAGGCCCTCCTCCACTCTGGTTTTGACTGCTGCCTATCTCAGACAGTAAGGATGTTTGCTATACGGACATGCTCTTCATTTCTTTACAGTTTAGAATGGGTTCAAGAAGCTCTGTGCCAGTCTCAGGAAGTCTATATACTTACAGGCGGATGAGAGGCTCAAATGGTGAGCTAACCTAGGAAAAGTGTGTGCAGCAGGGACTGGAGGTGAAGTGTTTCCTGCCTACCTTGCCCCTTCCCCAGGCCTTCTCCTTTCTTACTTTCCAGGAGCTGGGTACAGGAGGTGGGTACAGATACAGAATATCAAAATGGATTAAAGCAACTGCATTTGTTACTGTCAGGATCATAAAATACGGTAATATTTTTTTGACTACCCATTTTAAAGATTTTATTATTTATTTGAGAGAGAGCACGCACAAGCTTGCGAGCACACGGGTGCCCTCGCGAGCGGGGTGCGGGGCAGAGGGAGAGGGAGAGAATCTCAAGCAGACTCTGCCCGCAAGCACAGAGCCCAGGCGGGGCTGGATCTCATGACCCCAAGATCATGATGAGCTGAGCCAAAACCAAGAGTCAGATGTTTAACCAGCTGAGTCACCCAGGTGCCCCACTGACTACTCATTTTAAACATGCTAAGAACACCAATTAAACATTGTCTCAAATCAGCCCTTTGAACAGCGATTATTCCCTCAAATCCACTTAATAAATCATTTAATTAACCGAAGTTATAAGATCAATATGCAGCCTTACCAAGTGTCCCAGGAGGTTCCCATATTTAAATTCCCATACTGGGGCTTGTAACCGAAAGACTTCAATGACATCATCACCTTTCATAACTGGGATAGGTGAGCCAGTTGGACAGAATGTGTATTTAGCTTGACAATAAGGATCTGGTTCTGGACGGAAGGAAAAGCGTCTAATAAAGAAAAAGAAACCACTAACTTAGATTCTAATAGGAATTTGGTTCTTCTTGAACATTTTAGAATCCAGATTTTAGTACCACTGTCAATAACATTTTCAGAGGAAACATTCAAGTTTAGCCCATAGTGTTTAAACATTTGATCTGTTATCCTGTGAACAAACTTCAATGACGTCTTATTTATTTTTAAAGATTTTATGTATTTGACAGAGAGCACAAGCAGGGGAAGCAGCAGCAGAGGCAGAGGGAAAAGCAGGCTCCCCGATGAGCAGGAAGCCGGATGCCGGCCTCCAACCCAGGGCCCTGGCATCATGACCTGAGCTGAAGGCAGATGCTTAGCCGACTAAGCCACCCAGGCGCCCTCCAATGATGTCTTTAATAGCAAATGATACATTAAAAGCACTTTGATAAACGCATGCTTCTCTGTTTCCTGCTCCCATTGTGAAAATCTTGAAAACGGAGGCTGTATCTTAAAATGTTGACAGATCAGATCTTATTTAGTAGACAAATATTCACTGAATAAAGGAGTATTTTCAAGTGACATTTAATTTCCTAAACAATCCATATGTTAAGATGATTCCAAAATAATTATGATTAAATAGAATATATATATATATATATTTTAGAATATATTTTCTGTTTTCTTAAGAATTAACCAACAGGAGTGCCCCTCTATTTGCTAGACGGGATGTGGCCCAATTCATGAATCATTTAATAAAGCTAATTAGATCTTTAAAGTAAACAATTTTAAATAATGAGATTAACCAATGATCCTTCAGCCAATATTTATTAAAGCTCTACTATGTGTAGGACACCATACTAGGGAGGAGGAAAACAAAATTAAAATGATGTTCCCTTCCTCAAGAACATTTGGGTGGGGGCTGGGAATACATTAAACAAGTAAACCAAGTGCAGTGTGGTAAGTGCTAAAGAAAGATAGAGTCCTGCGAGCACACAGGAGAGAAATCACTTTTACCAGATGTGGAATGGGTGGGGATGAGGACAAAGAAAGAGATGAAGACCTGGCTTAGGTTTTTAAAATACTTCCAAAGGTCAGGACACAAAAGTAGAGAAAACATTAAGTATTTTAAGACAGCGGGTAAATAAAACTGTAAATAAAGAATTCAGGCTTCAGGGCAGGAGAGGGCAGCAGGGGCTGTCCTTTTGCACTGATGCAGCACGAACCGCAACCCGTGGACTCTACAACTGGCAAGGAATGAGCCCCAGAGTGAGCTTCACGGATTTTAAGTAGCAGCCCTGGTCTGACTGGATTTGCTGCAAAACAAACCTTATTTTATGAGTTAGAAGAGGGCGGTGAGAGAGGAAGTTAAGGCATCGGTCAGTTAGTTTACTGTAATAATGTAACAAGAAGAGAAGCCCCCCCCAATCCCCGAAGGCCTTGGCAATAGGACCAGGGGGCGGATTGTAGTAGTAGACACCCCTGGTCACCTTCCATATTTGGCAGTGGAAGATACAGATGAAAGACGCTGCCTCCATCTATCCTGAAGAATACTGATCTCTAAGGTTTTAGACAGATCTGTTCTTTTATAACGCTACCACATCAACAAAAATTTCTATTTTAAGAAGTTAGCCAAAAATATTAACACCCCCCTTCCCTCCACACACACAACATTTATAAGACTCAGGTATACTTACCTGTTTTAGAGGTGCTCATCTGGTTGAAACAAATACATAACTATACAAAGTTTTCACTTGCCCACAGCTAAATCTCTTGTAGGTCAAGGGTAATTTCAAAAGCATAATTTGTGTGAACTTAATAAAGTTAAATTTTATTATATTCAGTAGAGAAGATTAAACTCAATATTTGAAATTTTTATAGAAACACGAAGTTATAGTTCATACATTCCCCTAATTTTAAATCAAGTAGTTTTGAATTTACAATCTCTTATTTTATTGAACATTTTTTACTTCTTTTTTATGTTTTTTTGAGCGAACGTTGTATTAACATTTTTTTCAAGAAAACCCAAACTTCTCTTTCTATATATATCGAGCAAAACAAGGAAGTGGTGCAAAGCATTCAGTGAGCAGAATACGCTAATATCCAGGCTTGACAAGAGCTGGCATTTACTAGATGTAATCCCCCTACAAACACCGGGTAAATGCTACTATTCCTGCTAACTCAGGACATGTGGTTACAGAGATACGGATATCGGCTCTCGAACAGCTAGTGATGGTGGTGCCTGATTTGACTGGAACCCAGAACTCTCGCCTGACCACTAGGTTAACCTGCCTCTCCACTCACTATTTTGTCATCCGAAATAGCTGTGCGTTTTCAAAAGCCCTGCCTGGTGTTAACAGCGTTGTTTTCTTTCCGTGTGTTTAGCCACCTGACCATCTTCCGCTGTGTAAATAACTCTTCTAGGTCAGAGGCTCCAATCAGCTTCACAGGTTTGCAGTCTCTGTCCTGGTCTTATGACCACATCCTACACCCAGACTGGGAACGGGACAAACGAGGTCACCAGCCTTCCCGGGGTGCCCGAGTCAAAGGGGGCGGGCGAGTCTAAGGACACATGACTTTTAGGGATAAAAACGGAAAGTCTCAGAAAACCCCAACCAGTGGGTCACGCTGTCAGTTGTGCCAATGGGTACGCGCTCACGATAACGACGTGCAAGACGTTAATAAACAAACGCGATATTCAGTCTCCTCAAACTATTCAAACAGTCGGTTACTTGCATCCAAAATTCACTCAGTAAAATGACATTACTTCCCGTTTCTTTCATGATTAGGGAGTGTCCTGAGCCTAGGTCAGCTAGAAACTGGCGCAAGTGTCCCCAGAGGAAGGGAGGCCCCAGGGCGGCGCGCCCCACCCGGTCCCCCACCGCGAGGGGAGCGCCTCTCGGCCCCGGCACCCCGCCCCGCTAGCCCCTGCCGTGCGCGCGCCCGCCGCGCCCGCGCGCACTCACTTGTAGGGCACGGGCCACTGGCGCCGGGAGGGGTCGGCCGCGGCTGTCGGCAGCCAGAGCAGCGCCAGGGCCCAGCGCCAAAGAGCGCACCCCGAGGCCGCACCCGCGCTCCGCTGCCCACCGACCCCACGGTGGGCGCTCCCCGCCTGCGCCATGTGGCGGCTCCCGGTGCTTCCGGCGCCTCCCGACCCCGGCGACGCGGACTGAGCATGCGCGGAGCCAGGCCTCCGCGCCGCACCAAGCCCGGACTCGGCCGCCTGGGTCCGGCCGGTCCCACCCTCGGCCCCGCCGCACCGGACGCCTTCCGGAGCGGGAGGGAGCGGAGCTCTTTCGTGCGGACCGGTTTTCCTGTCCGCAGCTGCCCGCAGGGTGGTGGCTTTCAAAACTTTGCCGGCCGGGAAGGCGCCTGGGTCCGGCTTCTTGGAGCGCTCCATCCGGGCCTCGGGGCCTCCTTTTTCTGAAACAGACCCAGAATGCCGAGTGCTTCTGGCCCCGCGTCTCAGTTTAAAGTTCACCGCTTCTTTGGAGCTATTTTTCTGACCTGCGCTCAACAATTCCCACCTAAACCAAACCACCACCACCAACAAAAGAGTCCGTCTTTGGGCCCCTCCTTTGGATTCTCTAGCACGGAACTCTCACCCCTCCACACAGGGTCCAGACTAGGTGACATTAAACATTGGAGTGAAAGAATCTTTATTTGGCGGTGGTGGTGCAGTGAGGAAGACAATCCTGGAGGAATGACTGGTCCTCACCCAACCTGAGCCAATGGCCACCGCAGTGCACAGCCCACGATACTACGCTATTTAATCCACTCGACCCCTTCCCCCCCAGATGTTCTTCCTTGTTGGGATCACCCGCTTCAGTGGGGGAGAAGATTCTACATTACCCTTCTTTGACCCTTCATCCAGCTCAAGAAAACAATGGGATCAACCGCCCTGCTTCTGGTGAGATATCCAAGGCCTGCCATACTTTTATACAAAGATATTAACTTATGTCTATAAATAGTACATTAAAAGCGTTATAACTTATAGTTACTTGTTTTACAAGAGAGCAGCTTACCTTCACTTCACCCACAACACTTGTGAACCATCATAGTATTTGTAAAGGATAGTGGAGTAAGTGACGTCAGAGGCGACCACATGACCCATGCTGGGGATGGAGGGAGCAGCACTGGCTTCCCCACGCCTGCTAGGCTTTCTGAGGGCTGATGGGAATTTGTCCCTCCCGCACCCAACCTCCCCTTCTCCCACTTGCTGCACCAGCTTGGGAAATTCTGTGGAGATTCAGGCAGGGTACCCTTTTAACACCCATTTACCTAACTATTTAGGTGGGTGCAATCCTAGCTCTCCTGCATACCATGGCTCAGTTCTGAATCACCAACTGACCTCTCCAAAGACCCACACAAGTTGGGGGTGGGGAGGGAGGGCGCAACACATCCTAGCTATGACGGCTGAAATGTAATGTTCAGTTTGACAGGGCACCCACAGGATTCCCAGAGGGTATTTACTTGAGCATGATTTACCCCTGAAGCAGCTCTCCAAAGTAACAATATACAAATAATGGGATCATAGGCTAGAGGGCCAATGGAGCTTCCCATCCTACTCAGGACTTCTGAGAGCTATAGAAACAAGTTTCGAGTTGACCATGGTCAGTGGTGGGGCTCTTCTCTCTCGGGACTGCAGTCTCTTCATTCCGCGTGCAGGGAGCTCTAATGGTGAGAAAGCAGTCCCTCATATTAGCCTTAACTAAGCCTCTCAGTAGCTCCCATCTGCTCGGGTCTGGTTCTGCCTTCTGTTCCTTTTGGCTATGACCCCAGCATCCCAGGCAGAAGATGCTTATAGACTGTTGTTACCTGATACCTCATTGTAGTGACCTCTCTAGTTCATGGTTTTTAAATCTTGGAAGATCCATCAAAAAATAGTTTGAATTTTAATCCAATTGGTTTCCCTTGGGTCCTTGCTCAGTTAGCTTAAGAACATTCAGAAGAGTACTGTAGTCTGATAAAATTATGTTTATCAACCATTGAACTGTTGCCCACCAGTGGAACTGTATAGCATCTCCTCAAAGGAAAAAATAGAGTTATAGGATTCTGGGGGAGGGTAGAGTTTAGGTGAAATTTAAATTTTTATCTTCACCTCCACCTTGGGCAGGTAGATCCGGTTAATTTCACGAAGCAACTGCAAGCCAGTCTGTATCCAGAATTACTGGTTTAAAAACCAGTCCACATTTTTTTTCATCTTTCTTGCCCTTCAGAATGTTCGCAGCTTTTTTTTTTTCTTTTTACTAATAATGGGATATATATGTGCTTAGAATCTCTCCCGTAGATCTATCCCACAGATAGGAGATATTACTCAGTTTTGTAAAACCAAAAATACAGAGAAGAGAGAATGTTTAGAATATTAATATATATTTTAATCAAATACAAAGTTTAATAACAGGAGGCTGAAACATGATCGTATGCTTTCTAGTCCTAATGATGCCTTCTTAAAGTCAAGGGACGTTTGACTCAGACCAGCCTTATCTAAATCCCGGAGAAGTGGACCTGCAAGTTTTGGGGTGGGGTAGAAGTCAGTGAAGAAGGTGTGACACCTAGGGCCCCAGTATATAGGTGCCTGCCCTGCACTTCCTTCCTTGCCTCCTAATCCTCATGTCTCCCCAGATCACTGCCCCTGCAGGATCCAGCTGTTGGGGAAAGAGGAACTCTTTCTGATGGCAGACTGGGGGTGATAATCCAGAGCTTGGTTGGGTTGGATGCCTGGAAGTAGGTCAAGTAAGAGCTTCCAAATGGTCTGCTTTGGGTTTTTGGCATTAAAACGCCTGAGATTTTAGGGGCGCCCGGGTGGCTCAGTCAACCGGTTAAGCGTTTGCCTTCAGCTCAGGCCCTGATCCCGGAGTTCTGGGATCGAACTCGTGCGCTCCCTCTCAAATAAATAAATAAAATCTTAAAAAAAATAAATAAAACCCGTGAGATTTTAACTTAGAGCCCTGAGTTTGTGAGTTTTATTTCCCATTTGCTTTAGTTCAGTGATTGCCAACCCTGACAGATGATGGAATCACCTCAGTAGATTTTAAGACATACCAATGCCCAAGCTAGTGCTTCCATCCCAGGGGTTCCCATGGAACAGGGCCTCAGCCTCTCCAGGTGATTCTAATATGCAGCAGGCTTGAGAATCCCAGCTTTAGAAAGACTTTAAACATAGATTTATTCAACTCTCCCATGGTTTTGAGCCCTCTGTTTCTATCTATAAAATCAAATCCTCTCGGGACACCTGGGTGGCTCAGTCGGTTAAGCGTCTGCCTTCGGCTTAGGTCATGATCCCAGGGTCCTGGGATTGAGCCCTGCATCTCATCAGGCTCCTTGCTCAGTGGAGAGCCTGCTTTGCCCTCTGCCTGCCGCTCCCCCTGCTTGTGCTCTAACAAATAAATAAATAAAATCTTTAAAATAAAATAAAATCCTCTCTTCCATCTCTTTAAAAAGCATGTACTGTTGACCCTTGAAGAACACGGGTGTGAACTGTGTGGGTCCCCTTATACACAGAATTTTTTTTAATATCAATACAGTACAGCTGTAAATGTACTTTTATGATTTCCTTAACATTTTCTTCTCCTAGCTTACTTCATTGTAAGACTGCAGTATATAATACATGTAACATACAAAATGTGTGCGTTAACAGTTTATGTTATCAGTAAGGCTTTAGGTCAACAGTAGGCTATGGGTAGTCAAAGTTACACAAATTTTCGATGCATGGAGTTGTGTCGTTCAAGGGCTATGTAATTTATATACATATGTATACACACATATATGGCTGTGTGTGTATAGATAGATATGTGTATGTATGTATTTGGAAATCAGTCTCTTTCTGTTCTACTTTCTTTCTGGAAGCTAATTTATAGCTCTCCCCCCCAACCCCCGCAGAAGTCCCCTGCAGTTCTTCCTTGTGGCTATTTGTAGTTGGTGTTGGCCCTGAAGGCATACGGAATTACTTAGTGGTTTTCTGACTTTCCTTCCTGGTTTAGGCTCTGAGATTGATTTGCTTGATTATTTTCATAGAGGCAATGACATCATTTGTTTTTATTTCTATTTTTGAAGGTGAAGCTATTTGCTCCTAATGCTGAGCAGATGTACATTGTTAATCACTTGAAAGAGAGCCCAGCAGAAGAGAAGAGAAATGTGCTGGAGGAAAGTGCCAGGAGAGCCCATGAGGACATAGAAGATTTGGCAGACCTGAACCCCAGCAAGCTTGAAGCTGTCATTATGCCGGTGAGTTAGCTGAAAGCTGTGAGACCAACTGTTAATTTTAATTAATGTTCACTGACTTTAAACCCCTTTGCAGAAAGAGTGGTGCAGACTTAGCTACCATCTTGAAGCCTCTGTGCCAGGCTCTAGATCACGGTTCTCAAACTTTGCTGCACATGAAAGTCACTTGGGAAGGCTTTAAAAAGTCTCAGTGCCTGGGTCACACCTGAGACCAGTCGCATCAGACTTCCTGGTGCTGGAAACAGATGGTAGTGCTTTTTGATGCTCCACAGGTTCTCCCACTGTGCGGCCAAGTTTGAGAACCAGTGCTTTATGAAAGGAGTCACCAGTGGTTCCCAGACTTGGGTGCGCCTGTAATCACCTGGAGGACTTTAAAACCACCAGTGCCTGTGTCCCTATGGCCTGGATTTTGGAATTTTTTAAGATTCCCATATGATTCTCATATGCAGACAAGTTTGGGAACCACTGCTCTATAAAAGCATGTCTCTAAGTTTAATAGGTATGTGAATCACCTGGAGATCTTGTTACAGCCCGCAGGTGCTGATTCAGCTCCCAGGTGACAGGTGGCATGCAGCCCACGTTTTGAGACCTTGAGACACTGGAAATCACAGTGGAGGGTTGCCTGTTTCTGGACCTTTTCAGTGCAGGAATCACTTATAGATAGGTGACTCTACCTTTTAAAATAAATAATTGATTTACAAGTATAATTGTCTTAGATGTTTTTTACTTCTTTTTATTTAATCCCCTCATAAGAAACTGTGTGTTATATATTGATCTTTTTCAGACTAAACAGTTTTAGTTTGTTCAAACACTTAAAATCAGTTTTAAGATTATTTTTTAAGATTTTTCTTGAGAGAGGGCATGCGCACAGGCGCACGTGCACACACACACAAGCAGGGGTGAGGGGGCAGAGGGAGAGAGAATCTCAAGGAGACTCCTCCCTGAGCATGAGCCTGACACAGGGCTCAATCTCATGACCCTGAGATCATGACCTGAGCCAAAATCAAGAGTCAGATGGATGTTTAACTGACTGTGCCACCTATGCACCGTTATTTTAAGATTATTTATTTTGGGAGGCACGTGGGTGGCTCAGTTGGTTAAGCATCTGCCTTTGGCTCAGGTCATTTTCATAGGGTCCTAGGATCAACCCCCACATCGGGCTCCTTGCTCAGCAGGAAGTCTGCTTCTCCCTCTCCCTCTGCTGCTCCCTCTGCTTGTGCTCTCTCTCTCTCAAATAAATAAATAAAATCTTAAAAAATAATCTTTTTTTAAGATTTTATTTATTTGAGTGAGAGAGCGCACACGAGAGAGCACGAGCGAGAGGGAGAAGCAGTCCCCCCACCCCTGCTGAGCAGGGAGCCCGACTCAGGGCTCAGTCCCAGGGTCCCGGGATCATGACCCAAGCTGAAGACAGGTGCTTAACTGACTGAGCCACCCAGGTGCCCCTATTTTAAGATTATTTGAAATGTTCACAATATTCTTGAAATCTTTGAAGGTGGTTTGGAGATGTCCTACCGTGAGAATCAGAAATCATTGTTTTAGATAAGGAGTGTGTTGCTGTGGATACTTACATGTCTATCTGAACAGGTTGCTTACTGCTATTTTACATACAAAGTATTCCAGATATCTATTGCTGGGTAACAGGCACCACCAAAATTTAGTGTCTTCAACAATAATTTATTATCTTTCCTGGTTCTTTTGATCGACTAGGCTTAGCTTGAGCTTCGTTTGAGATCTCTCTGGCAAGCTGCATGGTGGCTGGAGCTGCAGGCATCTGAAGGCATGACTGGGCTGGAAGTCACCACCCTGGTGTCTTTCTGGTGCCTAAGCTGGGATTGTCTGGAACACCTGAGCAGCCATCTGGCCATTCCCTGTGGCGATCTTGGGCTTCCTGGTAACCTATAGACCCCAGGGTGTTTGAGCTTCTCACATGAGAGCTGGCAACCCTCAGAACAACATTCCAAGAGACCCAGGCTTTCCTCTTACGCTCTAGCCACAGATGTCCCTCAGTGTCATCTCTGCCACATTCCATTGATCAAAAGGGAGATTTAGGTTCAAAGAGAGGAGTCTACAAAAGGCAACGAATACTAGGCGGCATGGTTATCGGGCATTGGAGACTTGCTACACATTATATATACAACATAAGTTTAAATATCTCTTTACAAAACCTGGGGGGAACATAAGGGAGATTAATTATTAATTTTATTTGAGCTGCTGGTGTCTTGTAGATTTAGTCTTTTTTTCTTTCACTGCGAAAAGGTATGCCCTGAGACAACTTTGTAAAGATTATTGCCCTTGAGGTCTGATGTTAAAATTAGTTTTCACGTCTCAAATGGTGTCACTTGTAAATCAATCAAAAAATTACAGTGGTTTTTAGTATATGTGCTGCCGAAGCGAGCACAAATTACAGTGGTTTTTAAAACAATCTTTTATTCTAATACATCAAGATACAGTTTTGTTTTTAGGAGGACTGAAGTTATCTCAAATGCTCTTTTAAAAATTATATTTCTACTTTGTACCACACTTGAAATATTTAGCAAAAATTATCATCATGATGGGTATCCCACCTTGTATCTTCAGAATTTTACTGTTGATGAAAAACGTTTATTATTATTATTATTTGGTGTCTGTAAAATCCACTTTCTACAAGGGCTACATTGAAGCTGTGTAAATTCCCTAAGGGTCAGGTTTGTGTTTCAGCATTTGGCACCAGCTTTTTACAGAAGGATCTCTGAGCAACTTTGACAAATACAGGTTGCTGTTCTGACTTTTAAAAATGAAGTTAATGAATTAATTAAATCATTGCCAACCCCAGAAGACTTAAAGAAATGTTATTTTTGCATTCTAATGGTGGGTTATTGTGCTCATCTGCCTTAATTCTTTGCTGAAGAATTAATTGTTCATAGGTTCTTCTTGTCAGCTGCCTCAGGTAGCCCTGGGTTTCCTCTCTTTGTAGGTGGTGTTGGGGTGGCCCAGAGCCACCCCGTGAGCAGTTCGGTAAAGGACTCTTCTGTTGCATTTCACACATCCTGGCAGCTGACACCTTCATGCTGTGAAGTCACAGTGGGTCAGGAAACTCATGTGGATGCAGGGGGAGGAAAGGATGAAAAGCTTACTGCCTGGTAAGTAGGTTCTATAGCATTTTCCCATTTTCCTTCCTCCAAATGAGTATCAATGTGACTGCTTTCCTGGTAGCTTAACGAATTATCTTCCACTTGGGGCCTGCCATATTTGGTAATTGGCACTCAGGTGGGGGCCGGACACGGTGAGGGACAGTGCTTTAAGGTGATGAGACCAGCTGGCTTTGAATCATAGGGAAAATGTATTCATTCGAAATACACTGGCTTACTCTATAAGAAAAAATTTTCAGTATATCAGTTCTCTTGTATGATATCATTCAGCTGAATGGATCAAATTATCCTTGCTTTAATTATTTCCTATTGATCCGAGTACATACAGCCTTCATTTTCTCTTACTAAGGGAATATTTAAATGAAGCCTCATGTTGGAACAGATTTCTTCCATGCACAGTGCCTGTGGGCTTCTGTTCCAAACACTGCCGCATTTGAGAGGCCAGTGCGAGCTGACCATTTTAACTCTCTTCACAGTCATGGTGTCGATTGCCTGAGAAACATTTTCTTCCTCCCAGGTATCTTTTCTTCTGATAGGTTCGATGATGCAGCTGGGGCCGCTGCCGAATAGGAGCCTGGCTGCGCAAAGGGCTGCAGGGAGGGGGGTCCTGCCAGGATGCTGCCAACAGAGCGGCCCAGAGGCGGCCCCTCCATGGGAGCAGTGTGGGGAGGGCGGCAAGGCGGCGGGGGAGGCTTTCGAAGGGGTTTGAAAAGTGATGCTTCAGTGATAATATTTAGAAGAACATGTTCAAGTAAAAACAGCTCCAACCAAATGAGGGACACACTTTATCACTTACTGAGAGGTACTTTCAGTGTGATCCTGACTCAAAGATTAAATAATTGTCACTGAATTATTCAGAAATACATGGTTTCTAGACAAGCATAGTTTCACTTCTTTCATTTTTCAAAGTCAGAAATGACTCTCAAGCCGTGTTTCAAACAGACGGGCATTGGGCTGTTCCAAAGGCTCTTTCCTGAACCTCCAGCTTGGCTCCTGTAAGGACACCAACTGTAACTGGGATGGGTTGAATTGTCCATAATAAGAAGGACAATAGAAAGCAGGGGGAATTTAAGTGAGATGATGACATCTGGATGTTGATTTCTGCATTTGCAACTCAACTAGATGACTAAACTAATCTTCATGATTTCTGTGAAGGTTTTCTGTTTGCTATGACTCAGATAAAGCCATGACACTTTTTAACGTTACTGTGTGTCATACATTCTTTTGATGTCCTCTGCAGCTGTCCGTGCCTGGGCACCCAGGCTTTAGCAGGAACCAGAGTAGCCTGTGGAACGCTCATCTGTTTTGGAGTGTTTCACTTGCTAGGAACTATCCCTATACTTTTTTTTTTAATTACAGAGTAGGGGAAGAGGGGAGGAATAAAACAATCTCACCGGGTGATAAAAACCTGCAACATCGCAGGTAGATTTCATATGGATGGGAAGAGACTACAGACACGGGCGCATGCGCACAGGTGCATCCTTCTGCCGGAAGGAGGAGCAGCAGATCTTACTGTGACCTTGCCCTGCTCCCTTCAGTTCCCTGTGGCTTTGCTCTGTGCGGGGAAGTCCTGCATTTCTCCAGTGCCATGAAGCTTCTGTTGTCACAGGTTCTGTCTCGGCCCAGGAAGAACCGGAAGCTACGAATTCTACCTCTGGAAGGTTCACATTCCCACCAGGGGAGGAGTGAGGAAGCACAGCTGGCCCCGAATAGGTACAGAGCACTTTCCTTGTCCTGTGTACTGATTTGCTTGTCTCTCTACTCACAGCTTATGGATTATAAGCTCATGATGGTAAGAGGCGTTTGTCTATTTTGTTGACCTGCACCAGGAACATCCTCTGGCATATGAAGCCCTTGATAAAAGTTTGTTGATAATGAACGCCCACCATTTACAAAGCGTCTCCAAAGAGGTTCCCCTACGTAAGGTATTACAGGCCTAAAGGTGGGGTCATAGGAGATTCATCTGACGGGGATATCTGTTTTAGATAAAGGCTTCCGAGCAAAGTTGTTATAAAATACAACATATAAAAATTCCCTTTAAAGTCACATATTCTTGGGGCGTTTGGGTGGCTCAGTTGTTAAGCATCTGCCTTCGGCTCAGGCCATGATCCCGGGGTCCCAGGATCAAGTCCCGCATCGGGCTCCGTGCTCCGAGGGAAGCCTGCTTCTCTCTCTGCCCCTCACCCCGCTCGTGCTCTCTCTGTCTTACTCTTTTTCTCTCAAATAAATAAATAAAATCTTACAAAGAAAGAAAACTCACATAGTCTCATTTTCAGTGCCTGGGCTAAAATCATTACCGCTCTTGTGACAGCTGTGAGCTGCTGGGGCTAGCAGCTTTAGTTAACACTGTGATAGAACCCACGGCTTGTAGAGCTCCCACTGCTACACAGCAGAGACAATTCCCGGAGTGGAGGTGACATCCAATTTTCCTGTGTTGTATCTTTATAGCCTACAAAACCACACAAATAGGAAAGAAAGGCATTTCGGGATGGGAAATGCGCAGGAAAGAGAATGTAGCAGGCCTCAAGCTGCTGTCTTTATTAAGGCCCATTCATGAGGTTCATCCTTGGCGGGCATCTGGGAGCTTGGCCCTTAACCCACTCCCTGACTGATAAAAATAGTTTGCTCTGCCGAGACTGTGCAGACATAGTTGTTCAGCAGACAATTATGCCAAACACCTGCTTTCCTTCTTTGAGTTTGGGATTATGATCGTTGCTGGGCGGAGGGGACCTACGTGACCAGACACTATTAAAAACCTTGGGTGCTAATTCTCTCCCCAGGGGAGAAAGAGTGTACACACTTCAGTGAATTTTTCACTCCTGGAGAGAGGAACACATTCGTGCGTCTCCTAACTGGTGGGAGGGGGCATCTGAAGCCTCCAGATGCTGCCAGTGGCTTTTTCTCTAGTCGAACTTGTCATGTATCCTTTCACTGTAATAAACCTTACCCATGGGTACGAGAGTCCCCTATATTCTTCTAATGATCCCTGAATGTGCGTGTGGTCTTGGGGATCCCCAAAACACATATGCTAGCCAGCATCGTGGTTCCTTTGGTGTATCTAGTGACAGGTAGTTTGACTTAAGGCCTTGAACGTGTGCAGAGGATGCAGAAACACAGGGAGGGTGCTGGAATGTGCCTCTCTCTGAGCTGGAGCTTTGGTCCCAGTCTCAGGTGGGTTTTCTCCCTGGTGGCCCGGCCTGATCCATGTGGAGGACTCATTCGCCGACACATAGAGCCTATAACACTGTGGCACATCCTTTGCTGCCACCCCGAAGGGAATGGAAGGGGAAAAGCAAGCATTTTCCACACTGCCTAGACAGCAGATCAGAGCGGCCCAAGCCCCCACCTTGGGCTTTCTCAGGGTGAGTGGCCCACAGGCCATCCTTGTTCTCCAGTTTCATGGACCCAAGAGACAAGTGGGCTTGATTTAACTCTTCCATTCCATCAAAGCTCTCCTTCAGCACTCTGGCTCAAAAATGCCCAAGCTTTTGACCCTTCTAAAAAGGAATCATCTAGAAAGGAATGTGGGGAGCCAATCTTTCCCTCTCTTACCTCTGCTTTTTTTTTTTTTGTATGTGGTATGGTGGGGGAGTGGGGGTGGGGGATGGTGTGCAGGACTGCCAGTGAGGAGGACCCTTATGTTCTCTCTACAGACCCATATTCCCTCATAGTTTTTCCTGCCAGTTAACTTGGTGTGCATAATAACCAATATCAAGGTCACCTTGAGTGCTGTGGTCCCCTCAGGACATCTTCCCCAACCTCTGCTGTTTGTCTGAAGCATCCATCAAGGCTGTGAAAAGATAAACTGAGGCGTATTAAATTTTTTTTAAAAGATTTTATTTAGGGGCGCCTGGGTGGCTCAGTTGGTTAAGCGACTGCCTTCGGCTCAGGTCATGATCCTGGAGTCCCGGGATCGAGTCCCACATCGGACTCCCTGCTCAGCAGGGAGTCTGCTTCTCCCTCTGACCCTCTTCCCTCTCGTGCTCTCTATCTCCCATTCTCTCTCTCTCAAATAAATAAATAAAATCTTAAAAAAAAAACTTTAAAAAAATAAAAGATTTTGTTTATTTGACAGAGAGAGTGAGCACAAGAAGGGGGAAGGGTAGAGGGAGAAGGAGAAGCAGACTCCCCACTGAGCAGGGAGCCTGACACGGGACTCGATTCCAGCACCCTGGGATCAAGACCTGAACTGAAGGCAGATGCTCAACCAACTGAGCCACCCAAGTGTCCCTGTGTTAAATTTTTTTAAAGAGTTTACTTGAGAGGCGCCTGGGTGGCACAGTCAGCTGAGCATCCGACTCCTGGTTTTGGCTCAGACTGTGATCTCAGGGTCATGAGATCGAGCCCTGCTTCAGGCTCTGAGATTCTCTCGCTCCCTCTTCCTCTCCCTTGACCCCTCCTGCTAGTGCTTGCTTGCTCGTCCTCTGGCTCTCTCTCTCAAATAAATAAATAAATAACATTACATTACATTACATTACAAAAAAGTTTATTTGAGCAAAAATTGATTTGAATTACATAGCATCCAACCTAGCCAGGTAGAAAGGAGCTCCAAGTTACTGTGTAAGATGAAAGACTTATAGGTAGGAGGGAATAGGAACAGGGAAGTTACATTAGACCAAATAGATTGTTTATTTCAAGGTTACTTTCCTTTAGGGGATGGCGGGGGTCTGTCAGGCATATTGCCTAACTAGTGCTGTTCTGGAAATTCCTGAATGATTGGTTTGAGATTCCATTTCTGGGAGTGCTGAAACTGTAAGTAAATCTCATTTTAGTGGTGTGGGGCTTAGCCTAAGGACTCCATTTTGGGTCTGTGTCTTGCTTATAACAGGGGTTACCTGAGGATATTATTACTAGCCCTTAGATCTTGCCCCTAGAAATTTCTGAAGTGTATAAAGACAGGATAATTAAATTGTATCTGAAGGCCACATTAGAAACCACCACTTTGATCTCCCGTTTTATTTACTGTTCAGATTAATCACAGCTACATGATATGTCTTATCGAACAGCATAATCCAAGTGGTAGAGAGCCAGCCATAGAAAATTCTACACATTTCTAAGTACTGTTTTAGCTACATCCTACAAATTTGGATATATGCTATTTTTGTTATCGGTTGGTTCTAAATGTTTTATAATTTTTATGACAATTTCTTCTGTGACCCAAAAGTTACTTCAAGGAATTTTCATTTCCAAACATTTCAAGTTTTCTAATCATCTTTTTTTATATTGAATTTAAACTTAATTGCATTATGATTAGAGAAAATGATCTGTATCTTCCAGTCCTTTGAAAAGTTGTTAAAACTTGCTTTATGGCTTATGGTCCTTTTTTGTAAATGTTCTGTGAGATATTTAAAAGATTGTGAAATCTCTACTTGTTTGGTGCAGATTCTCTGTAGGTCCTTTAGATAAAACATGTAAATTGTGTTTAAATCTTAATACAGTTTATTTATCTTTGGTTTTCTTGAGATATCAGTTGCTAAGAGATTAGTGTTAAAATTCTCTCAGTATGGTATTGGATTCATGTATTTCTCCTTGTAGTTCAGTATTACTTAGAATTATTTTAATTACCTACTGATTTGAATTTTTTATCATTATGTAGTCACCTTCCTTGTTCCCAGTAATGCTTTTTGCTTGAGTTCTGTTTTTGTCTAACATTAACATTTATTTATTCCAGCTTGCTTTGGTTAGTGTTCCATCCATATTTCTCGCATCTTTTTACTTTCGACTTTTCTGCATCCTTATGAGTCTTGGATAACTTATATAACTGGATTTTTAAAAAGCCTTCTGATGACACCAAAAGCAGGAACAATAACATTTTATTTTTATTTTCTATATTTTTTAATAAAATTTTTTTAAATGGTAAGATGGAGTTGATTGAAATTTAAAATTTTTGATCTTTAAAAGAGACCACTAAAAACATGAAAAGACAAACCACAGACTTGGGGGAAAATGTTTGTAAAACATACATCTGATAAAGAACTTATACCCAGGATATATAAAGAATTCCTACAACTGAATAAGAAGACAACCTAATTAAAATATTTCTCAAAAATAGGCAAGAATTCATCATTTGGAAAATGCAGACTGAAACGAGATACCATTACATACTCATTAGACAGGCTAAAATAAAAGAGACTGACAATTCCAAGGGTTGGTAAGGATATGGAGAAACTGGGACCCTCATATATTACTGGTAGAAATGTAATGGGATAGAACTACCTTGGAGACGTTTTTTGGTTTTTATTTTTAAGATTTTATTTATTTATTTGACAGAGACAGAGAGAACACAAGTAGGCAGAGTGGCAGGGAGAGGGAGAAGCAAGCTCCCCACTGAGCAGAGAGCCCGATGCAGGACTTGATCCCAGAGTCCCGGGATCATGACCTGAACCGAAGGCAGACACTTGACGGACTGAGCCACCCAGGCGCCCCTGGAGGTTTTTTTTATAAAGTTAAACATGTACTAACTAAATGACCCAGCATTCCAGCAACTAGGTATCGACCTAAGAGAAATAGAAAGATATGTTCACACCAAGACATACATGTGGATGATCATAGAAGCATAATTTGTAGTAGACCCGAACTGGAAACAGTCCACTGTCCATCGACTACTGAATGGGTAAATAAATGTATATTCATACAATGGAACAGTACTCAGCAATGAAAGGGAATAAAATACTGATACATATGTGGGAAAAAAAAGCCCTGTTATGCTAAGTGAAAGATGCCAGACATGTAAGACTACATATTGTATGATTCCATTGTTTTAAAAATATTTTATTTATTTATTTGAGAGAGGGCACAGAGGGAAAGTGAGAGGGAGAAGCAGACTGCCCGCTGAGCAGAGAGCCCGACTCAGGGCTCGATCCCAGGACCCTGAGATCAGGATCTGAGCTGAAGGCAGACGCTTAACCAACTGAGCCACCCAGGCACCCCTGTATGATTCCATTTAAATGAAATATCTGGAAAAGACACAACTATAGAGATAGAAAATGGATCATTGGCTGCTAAGGGCTGGAGGTGGGAATGAGGATTAATCACAGGCCTGCATGAGGAGTTTTTGTTTTTTGTTTTTTTGGCATGACAGAGGTACTCCAGGTATTCTGATGGCTCAGTTGATGGAGCATGCAATTCTTGATCTCGGGCTGTGAGTATGAGCCCCACATTGGGTGGAGAGATTACTAAAAATAAAATCTTAAAAAAAAAGAAGTACTCCAAAACTGGATTGTGGCAATGTTTGCACAACTCTGTAACTTTACTAAAACTCACTGAACTATACACTCAAACTAGATGAATTAATGATATGTAAATTAGAAACTAATAAACATTAAACATTGTTTTTAATTATACATAATCTTTGTGTTTTTTAACTGGAGTATTTAGTCCATTTATTCTTTTTGTAATTATAGGTATATATGGATTTTTTCCTGTTGTTTTATATTGTGTTTTTTGTATGTTCTACATTTCTCATTTTTTTTCCTCCCTTCTTGCCTTCCTTTGGATTATTTTTTTCCTAATTCCATACTTCTCCATTTTTTAATTTTTTATTATTTTTAAAAGATTTATTTGTTTATTTGAGAGAGCGAGAATGAGAGAGAGAGAGAAAAAGTACATGAGAGGGGGGAGGGTTAGAGGGAGAAGCAGGCTCCTCGCTGAGCAGGGAGCCCGATGCGGGACTCAATCCCGGGACTCCAGGATCATGACCTGAGCCGAAGGCAGTCACTTAACCAACTGAGCCACCCAGGTGCCCAATTTTTTATTATTTTTTTAAATTTCTCCCTCTATTAACCTGGAAGTGATACATTCTACTGCTGTCTTATAATGGTTACCTGGAAATGTCAACATGCATACTTACAAATCAAGGTCTAGAGTTAATAGCTTTACCCTTTTCTCAAATGACACAAGGAATTTAGACTACATTAACTACAATAACTCCCTGCTTATATCTATTGCTAAAGTTGTAATTTTTAACCCCATAAGACATTTCTGTTATTTTACAAAATCAATATTTAATTACTCACATATATACTTTTTTTTTTTGTTGCCATCCTGTATTATATCTCAGACTCTTCATCCATTATATTTTTCCCAAGAAATTTTTGTAACAAATGGCAATATATTGTAGAGGTTAACAGCGTGGCTTCCAGAGCCAAACTCTTTTTACTTTTTACACTGCTTTTTATTTCTGCTTTATCAGTAAGGAAACCGAGGCAGAGGGTTACCCAGCAACATGCCTAGGGTCACATTTAGTAAGTTGTAGGGGCAGGATTTGGACCCACCAACTCCTTATATTTAAACCAATAGCACCCCCTCCACTGTGGAGGGTTTGTAAAAACCCGTGGTCTAAGAAATCTGTTGGTGGCACAATAGGCCAGAGGCCTTCTCCACTGTCAGCAAATTTGCATGTAGGTTCAAATTCCTCCTACATCTTGAGGTTCATGAAGTTCATAAAGAACTCCTCTGTAAAGATTAACTTTACAAGCAAATTACAGGTGACTTGAATTTCAGCCTTATGAATGCTTATAAAAATCAATTTCTCTGTGTTCCTTGCATATTTATTATTTTGCTTTAGGTACCTGGAACTGTCTGGCAAAATTTATAGGACACGACTCTTTCCATAAAAATCCAGTTCTCTTTCTGGACTCTCTCCACCTTGCTTGCCTTATTCCTGGGCAGATCGACCGTAAACCCTTGCTTTATAAAGCAAATAACCGAATTCTCCCCAATATAAAGTCACTTAGATGTTGATAAATCTCAGGAGAGATTGTACGATGGAATTGTTAAATGCTGGATAGATTTTGAAACCATCTCTGATGGAGAAGGTCCTTTCAGCAGAGTGGTTAGCACAGAACAGTCTTCTAGGTCTTCTAGATTCTCTACGATCTTGAGAAGCCTTTCTACTGTGTCGTAGGACAGCGTGCTGGAGGCATTGGCTCTGAACTTCTCCCGCAGGTCCTCCTGGCTCAGTGGCTTCCTCCAGTGGCCGTAGAAGGTATCCGAGCACTCTGTGAAGGTGGCTCCATCACTGAGAATGACACTTACCTCACAGTATAGTGTGTTGAAGCTTGGCAGGTTGTCCTGAGGGTGCTCGAGCTCCACTTTCCCGAGCAACTCTCTCACCTGTGGCCTATCGATCTGGCATTTGTGGAAGGATGGGACGGTGATGCCACCATCGAGCAGTGTGGTACAGGCCACATACTGGAACGAGTGACGAGCTTCATGCTCCGAGTCTGGGAAGGGCCTGTTGACATACTGGACATCTGGAATTCTGAGCACAATTCTCTCAACGCGGTCAGTGGGAAGCAGGGCTCTGTCTGTTACAAGGTGCTTTCGGACGGACGCAGCTGCGTCCGCCACCCAATGGGTGGCCAGATGTGCAGGGAACCTCTTGAAGGCCACATCCTGCTGATCCAGCAGCCATGTGTGGGAATCTAGGTTTGGAAGAACCTGTGGGGAGTAGTTGGCATAGAAGGCCCCAAAGCCCGTCTGCATGTCCAAGACCTGCTTGTTTCCTTGGAGACCCAGCATTGCCAGGAAAGCAGATTCCATCCCATGCCTGGCAGCATTGCCGATATGAAGAGGCTTGGTCTGAGTGGCAGCATTTGCCATGGGTGCCCCGGCATGAGAAACAGCAATAGCCAGGGCCTCTTGGCATTTTGTCATGCTGAGCCCTAGAAACTTGGATGTGGCAGCCGCACTACCCAAAGTTCCTACAACTGAGGGGGGATGGAATCTGAAAAGTAAAAAAAAAAAGCGAAGAGTTGGAGCTTTACAGACCTCAGTCACCAGGAGGCAGTATAGTTAGTGGTCAGGCGTGTGGATGCCGCAGGCCTGCTGCCTGGGTTCAAATCTCAGCTCTGCCACTTACTAGCTGTGTGATCTTAGCAAAGTCACTCAACCTCTCTGCACCTCTTTCCTCTCCCATAAAATGGTGCTAATCATACTATCTACTGATAGGATTTCATGAGTTTTGAACGAATCTACAGGCTTACAATAGTGCCTGACACAGTAAATTGTTAATTGTTGCCAGAAAAGCAAAAGTTGTTATTTGCTGAAACCCCACGTAAGTAGCTATAAAAAGGGAGAACCTGGTGGAAACTGTGAAAATCCACTCAGTATTCCAATTTACTCCTCTCCTAGTAGGCGGGATCAATTGGAAAAGTAAATATAAGATTGAACTACATGATACAGTCAACATGGGACCATTTTTGATTAGTGGGTTGAACAGTTTCAAGATCTTCTGAATGTTCTCAGTCTGAAGGACCTTAGCAAATATCAAAGTAGATTCTACTTTGAGATGGGATTAGGAAGATTCACAGTACCCGTGGATGCCAAAATGACATGAATCACCCTCGACTAGAGGCCCCAATTAATTTTATGCTCATGGTTGCTTGACCCTCTAAACCCAAAGGAGACTTTTCATTAGTACTTCTGAAGTCACACCTTTGTATATGGATATATGGTTTGATATGTGACTGGAAAATTGACTTAGCTGTCAGCACTAATGTTAATATTTTCAACTGAGCTAAGCTCTATGTCAGAAGGCTCTGCAGAGATAATGATCGACAGGTGAAGGGGACATGTGTCTGCCTCTGGATGGGGCAGATTCTCTCCGTACCTCTTTGGTATGTCACTGGCTTCTTTGGAGAAATGCAGTAATTGGCCTTGTACTTCAATCCCAACATTGAAAGCCAGCAGCAGATCAAGGCCAGAAAATGTTCGACTTGAAGGGAGAGCTTCTGCTAAAGCCATGAGGACAGGAAGGACAGCTCCAGAAGGGTGGGTGGCAGGATGCCATGTGTCATCAAAATCCATTGAGTGAATCTATGTAAACAGACACACAACAACCAAAAACCAAAAAAATAATATTTCTCTGAATGCAGTGACCAGTAAGGGTTTAGTTTCATAATAACTTTATTTGATATGAGATTTTTTAGATCTGATTATCCGAAAATAAAACCTATAAGCTGGCTGTAATTCGTAATCATACGGCTGGGCACTGAAACATGCTGTCCTCTGCCCAGAGCAGACAGGACTTTGGGGAGCAACTAGAGAGCCCCCAGTGGGCTTGGATCTTACCCAGGTGGCCAGAAATCTTTGGCACAGCCCCTGGAAAGAGCTATATCCCCCCTTAAAAATAAGGCTGTGAAATTAGATGGTGGTTCCTCTCTCCCTCCCCCACCCTTCAAATAAGTTGCACTAAAAGTTTAATGCCATTTATTCCATATCAGGCCATATATTTTTGTACCTTTTCATTACGAAATAATTTCAAATTTATAGGGAAGTTGCAAGGACTCTTGAACCCAGATTAACTATTAAGCTATATTTTAAAATCATTATTTTCTGCTGTAGGTTTTATTCCTCTTCGTCCTAGCCATCTGCTTATCCCTTATACGAAATAGTAATAACCAGAAGTTCACTTAAAAATAGAATTCCAGGGGTGCCTGGGTGGCTCAGTCAGTTAAGCATCTGCCTTCAGCTCAGGTCATGATCCCAGGGTCCTGGGATTGAGCCCCGCATTGGGCTCCCTGCTCAGCGGGGAGCCTGCTTCTCCCTCTCCTTCCCTCTTGTGCTTGTGCGCTCTCTCTCTCTCTCTCTCTTTCTCTCAAATAAATAAATAAATAAAATCTTTAAAAAATAGAATTCCATGTCTATTGGATGTGGCTGGTCTGGATGCTGGACATCTACTCCTGGATGCACTTGCTGGATTTGACTTTCAGTATTCTGAGCTACTGTCCCAAACCATAAAAATACCTCAGAAGTCCCAACACATTCACGTCTAAATTATATCTTGTATATAGATACAGACGGATGCTGACACACAAAGCAAAAAAACTTGTCAGATGAAAAGTGCTGATTTTTGCTTCAGAAAATGTAGACACCATATGGCCATTGTTTCTTTCTCAATAAATATCTAGTGAATGAATGGATGGATGAAAAGCTGGTTATTGAATAGAAACTGGCACTGGTTACAACAAAAGGAACTGAGTCTAGATATCAAGTTTTATATTTTTTGCTATCTATATGCAAAGTTTAGATACCTTAGGGTGTTTTATCTAAGTCCTCCATCTTATTTCCTGTGCTTCACAATTTATTTGAAAGCATTAATTCACTGTCAAACACAAAAAGTGAAGTAACTACATAGAAGAGAGGACAGACCACTTCATCTCTCTGAACTTCAGTAACTCATCCGTGAAATATGGAAACCGAACAATTTCTGAGCTATTTCCTGGCTCTGAAATTATTATTGTCTCACAGTTGAAAAGATACGTAAGTCTCCTTACAGCCACACCGTTCACAAAAGCAGCATATGATGGCGGGAGCCTTAGGTCTGGTCGACCCCAAACACTGCTGGACATGTTGGAACTGTAGATCTGGAACCAAAGAATATCAATCAGTGATACAGAGTGAAAACACGACATGCCAAGTTACCACTTCAAGAGCCGTTCCTCATCTTTGGAGTCAATAATGGTGCTTATTTGAACATTTTGTGCTGGATTGCAGCCTTAAACCATTGGAATTTTCTCTTCCTTGTAGAGGAATACACAACTTTCCCCATGGAAGGGAGAGGAGATGTTGGGGCTCTGTCCCAGACTGAGATCCACAGGTGTGCCAGGGAATGGAGTCTGAATTTATTCTTATTTATTTCTTGAGGGTAAATACCAGGGAAGGTGGACCAATTGTCTATACCAAGTACATCCTTTGGAGGGTGGGTGCTCCATCTCCCACATAACACACCCACTCTGCTCAGAGTGCTGAACCAGCTTTTTCTCCAGAGACTCTTAAAGTCTTTGCATGAATAAATGGTAGATGCTATTGGGGTAGACGCTATTCCTAAGATTGGTCTATAGACAGTAACTTAGCGAAGAATATGGATGAATATTAAAACTCAGATAAATAGAGCATAAAACCATATACAGCGATGCTACACACACCAAGTACTATCTCTAAAACAAAGAGTAGAATAATAGACCATAAACACATATCTCTGGGCACATTGACAGGTATACCTCATGAGCAGGCATTTGGTTTTATATCTAAAGTAGACACCGAGCTTCTTACCTTACTATATTCGCTGGCTTTGTGAAACACTTCTGTACTGGTTCCCAGGAAGCCAACGCCCAGAGTATCCAGAATCATTCTCTTGCTTCTTTGAATAACGTTATCTGTCAGGTGCCCCACTGTCAAGCCATGGATCACTCTGGCAAAGCTTTCTGTGACAGACTTTAAAGAGAAGAGTGTTAGAACATGCTACGTGCAATTTGTATTTGCTTATTCCTCGCTATACAGGAGCTTGAGGTACTTTTATGTGACGAGTTTTGCTCCACTAGGGGAAAGCCAGTTAATCAACCTAAGTTCAATTCCTGAGAAATGATGAGCACGGAGTCCTGCTATGTGTGAGGCAAAGGGATGTAGAAATGCCCAATAGCCAGTTTCTGTCCTCGAGTTGAGGACACAGGCCAACATGCAGGTGATGGCCACAGAGAGGGTGGGCTATGGCGGAGGGAAGCACAGAGTTAGGAGACGATGAGAGGGACATCTTGCCCATAAGGTGGGCATGCTGGGGGGCGCCTGGGTGGCTCAGTTGGTTAAGCAACTGCCTTCAGCTCAGGTCATGATCCTGGAGTCCCGGAATCGAGTCCCGCATCGGGCTCCCTGCTTAGCAGGGAGTCTGCTTCTCCCTTTGACCCTCCCCCCTCTCATGCTCTCTCTCTCTATCTCATTCTCTCTCTCAAATAAATCTTTAAAAAAAAATAAGGTGGGCATGCTGGGACCGGTGTATCCATCTAGGAGCTGCCATTATTAGATATGCGCCCGGTGTCATGCTGACTGTTGTAAATACAGTATCCATTGAATGCCGCAAGTTTCTGGGTAGGTATTATGAGCATCATCTCGCTTTGCAGGTGAGGAGACCCAGACTTGATGTTCCTGAGTTACACAACTCTTAGATGGTGGAGTTTGGACACATTCCTACAGGCCTAACTCCAAACTGCTGCATGTAATTATTAAGCCACGTTTCTCGAGGAGGAAAAGAAACATCGGAACATGTGGGGTTCTTGTTGAAAATGAACATTTCTGGTCCCTACTCCAGACTTCCAGAATTAGACTACCACCCCACCTGCAAATGAACTAGAAGCTTTGGAAGCATAGCACAGGATTCTGTGTTTTCATTAAGATCTTTAGGTGATTCTTAAATGTTCTAGTGCTATCATGTCCGACATGGTAGCTACTCTCCACATCGACTATTGAGCATTTGAAATGTGGCTAGTCCAAACTAGGATGTGTCATAAGAGTAAAATAAACACTGGGTTTTGAAGATTTAGTAGGAAAACAAGAATATAGAGCATCTCAGTAATAATTGTAAAATATTGATTATGTGCTAAGATGATAATATTTAGGATATATCAGTAAATGAAATGTAGTATTATAACTAATTTTATCAGCTGCTTTTTAAAATATGGCCACTAGAAAATTTAAAATTACACTTGAGAACTACTTCCTGTCTATTCTTGGTGGTGGAGATTACCTGGAGGCATCGATACCTGGGCTGGTTATGAAGACTTAAGGGAGTCAGCAGGTGAAGGTGCCCGGGACAAGGATGGAGGTTAAAGGCAGAGGTGACAGCGTGGCCTGGGGCTTAGAGGTGTGAGGGATGCAGTGATTTAGGCAAGCCCAGCTGCAGAGCTGCACACAGGGGGCAGAGGTGAGAGGGGTTTGCAGGCTAGACTGAGTGGTGGAAGTTCCACCAGGCTAAAGACTGTGGCTTAAAGGGGAGCCATGGTGCTGTCTTTAAAAAGGTTCATATGATCAGAACTGTGTTTTGCAAAGATCTCCATCAGCCCTCGTGCAGAGAATGGATTGAGAGGGGTAGACAAGGGCAGGTAAGAGACTGCTGTGATAGCCCAGGTTCTGGGTGGGGATACGACGGTGCCATGTGCCACGAGAGGGAGCACAGGAAGAGGGGCAGCTGTCTGGACAGTGACGACGGGCTAGCTGTGAACTTGCTGAATATGAAATGCCCGTGCTCATCCTAGTGGAGAAGACCATTCTTTTTTTTTTTTTTTTAAGATTTTATTTATTTATTTGACAGAGAGAGACACAGTGAGAGAAGGAACACAAGCAGGGAGAGTGGGAGAGGGAGAAGCAGGCCTCCCGCCGAGCAAGGAGCCCAATGTGGGGCCCGATCCCAGGACCCTGGGATCATGACCCGAGCCGAAGGCAGATGCTTAACGAATGAGCCACCCAGGCGCCCCTGGAGAAGACCATTCTGCTGCCACCCACAAACCAGATCATAAAAACCTGCGGGATTATTTGCATTTCAGAAGCAGCAGAGTGTTTTGCCATTCCTTTAAAGATCAAGTTCTTCAATGTATAGGTGGTTATTTTGTTTTCTACACGTCTTCCCAAGACAACATCTATTATGTACCACTAAAAACACCCACTCTTCAACTGTGTCTCACGACATGCCTAGTACTTAGCACCACTTAGTAAATGTCAGCTTGTTTCCCTTTTCTGCTCTGATTATTACATCGTTGTACAACTTCCTTTGCCTCTCTGAGCATCAGATACCGCTTTTTAAAACATAGGCTACAGGGCGACGGGTTTTTGAATCAGAGGATCTGGGGTGTGTGGGGCTCCCTGATGCTAAGATCAGTGTCTGGGCAGGGGTTCAGAGATGGAACCAGTGGCCATCTGAAAGTCCTCAACCTGCCCACCAGCTGGTTCCCTATTTTCAGTCTTGAGATGACCAAGTCACAGAACCCTTGCCATTTTCGAAAAAGAATGGGCTACGTCGTATGTCTCTGAAACTTTGGTAGAAAGGTGAGGGGAGCCTGGGGTGGGAGACAGCAGGAGAGAAGGCAGATGGGGGAGAGAGAGGGGGCTGGCACGGATGTTTCTAATCAGGATGGAGAATAATAACTTGGATTGTCCTGCTGCTAGAAATGTGGGTAAACATATTTAGGGACAGGGGCAGGGAAGGAGGGAAAAGCACTGGCTTGATGATCCACCAAGTAAACTGAGAACTGGTTGGATCCCTTGTTCTAAGCAAAATGACCTCTTTTCAAGCTCTCTTTCCATCTGCACAGCTCCCACAGTTGAAGGCATTTAGTGATTGGTCGTTCATCTCTCCGGGGTTAGATCCGACCTGGGGGAGAGGCTTATGCAGACACGTGTGTGCCTGGGGAGCATGTGTCATGGGGGCAACCACATGGAGCCTGGAAGGGGATTATGGCATCCGTTTGCATGATCCCATGGCGCTAGAGACCTGCGAAGGTAGGGCCCACTGGGGATCTCCTGACAAGTCCTGGATAGCGCCTGCGTCCCAAAGAAATGCTCCCGAGGAAGAAGGAACATGAGAACATAAACATGCAACTGCTCAGCTGTCTGTAGGATTGAATTCATCTATTTCTAAAATGTTTTTTTGGTCTTCCTGATTTTCTCATGGCATTTACAACAAAATACTGTTATCAATGTATAAATTAAGGCAAAACATGCAGCCATTTGATAAATATTTCACAAGTTCTTGCCATGTGTCTGGCACTGTGCTAAGCTCTCTAGAATATCAAACCAAGATGTTAGGATTCCTGCTACAAAAAGATTATCTTCTCCGGGGAACTAAGGACAGTAAACAGACATTAAAAAGGCAATCTGGCCATGCCATAATGGAAACAGACAAAACCAGGAGGTTAAAATTCAATGAGCTTGTAATAATTCATTTTCTTCCTAATTCTGTGCAACAGAATCATATCTCTTACTGGTAAAACACCAATGAAAAACCAGATGCAGGTAATTAGATAGCTCAGAGGCTATGAGAAATGCTAAAATGCCGTTTTTGAAGAAAGCAGGAAGCTCTAAGGACATTGAGAAAAGGAGAGGTAAGCTAGAAAACCAATTTAAGTAAGCCACGTAAGATGTGACAATACCTTGAGCATCGTGTCAAAATTGGAGGCGTATCTCAGGCGCGAACTGGAGGAGGACTTCACTGGCTGGGTGACACCCTTTATACCTTTCACTCTTCCCAGCCCATTCCCCTTCTCTTTGTTGTGACCCTAAAGTTTCCACTATTTCAACACCTCCCACATACATACGCTCATTTCAACTTCCTCATGATGAGTTGTTTAACCTACAGGGGATGAGGAATTAAATGAGGCCAGGAAGGAACAGAGAGATGGTCAAATGATTTCTTGTAGACATCAGGGAAGTGCACTGACAGCAAAGGTAGGATTGCATCCTGGGCTTAGATGCCAGACATCAAACGCAGAAAAATGCACCCTCTTTTATCCAGGTATTCCTGCTTCGAAAAGTTTATGCTAAGGAAATCGGCATGGATGTATGGAAGAAAAAAAACACAGATTTGCTTATAAGATTAAAAACTAAAAACAATCAAGTACCCCCAAACAGTGGGTTGCTGAAGTAAAATAGGGCATGGGCAGTGTTTAAGGCACACTCATCTCCCCCTTCATGTCACCACTGTTGGTCACTGTTGTCTGGGGACAAATGTGCCAGCCTGAGTTCCTGGTAGCTTGACATTAAGAACCTAGAAGGGCATTGGGAATTAATCATGCTTTTCTCCTGCTCGACCCTTGTTGGGTCCTGCCCTGCCTTTCTGCAGATGCAGATCTCTGGTTCCTGGTCCTCTGCTCAGCTGCTGGGATACATGGCCTGCCTCCCTGCTCTCGCCCACGGCACTGGCCCCACAGCCTGTCCAGGCCTCTTTGCTTATAATCAATCACTCTGGTGTGGCTGGTCTGGATCTCGCTCTGCTTCTCTGGGTAATTACTGTTTCCTTAGTCTTAGACAATTGGTTTATACTCCTAGTGGTCCAAAAAAAAAAAAAAAAAAAAAAAAAAACAGGTTATTTAACATCTGAGCAATTCCTAAGACCACTTTTACATGAAATGAAAATAGGCTATGGTGACTTCAACCATCTCACCGTGGAAAAGCTTTATAAAGGAATGATGAGGGGTGCCTGGTGGCTCAGTCAGTTGAGCATCTGTCTTCGCTCTCAGGTCATGACCCCAGGGTCTTCGGATGGAGCCTGCTTCTCCCTCTCCCTCTGCTTGCTGCTCTTCCTGCTTGTGCTGTCTCCAACCCCCCCCTCCGTCAAATGAATAAGTAAATAAAATCTTTAAAAAAAATAAAGGAATGATGAGCTTTAGTAAGCCTGATGAGCTTTAATGAAAAGTGCCATCATTTAGCTTCTCTGGGCTCAAGTTTTGCCAGTATTTTTTTTTTTAAATATGTCAATTTGGCTAGGCTATGGTATCCATGTGTTGGGCCAAATACCAGTCTAGATGTTGCTTTGAAGGTGTTTTTCGGATGTGGTTAACATTTAAATCAATAGACTTTGAGTAAAGCAGATTATAATCTATAATGGGTCTCATCCAATCAATAGAAGGCCTTAAGAGAAAACACTGAGATCCCCCAAGAAGGAATTCTGCCTCCAGATGGCTGTTCAGATTCCCGACTCCTGTGTCCACTCTTCCCTGGCTCTTCAGGCTGCCAACCTCCCCTGCAGATTTCATGGTAGCCAGCCTTCACCATCACATGAGCCAATTCTCTGAAATCTCTCTCTCCATTTGAATTCATTCTAAACACACACACACACACACACACACACACACACACACACACACCCCATTCTATTGGTTTTGTTTCTCTGGAGAACCCTAATACAAAATGCCTTCAAGGCCCCCAGCTTCCATATCATTTGTCTTTGTATCTCCAGTACGTTTAATCATCTCTGCCCCATTCTGGGTGCTGTGTGAATGAATGTGTGAGGGAGGGCATGAATGTGGACCCTAGGTGAGTATGGTAGCTCCAAGTCCCTCCCCTATTCTAGTTTTTGGACAGTTGAGGAATTGCACTTCTGCCCCGGGGGGTAACATTCTGCCTGCATGTCCTAAAATGGACAGCAGGGGCTTTCCTGAAAGGCTCTGGAGCTGCTGTGCCTCCATGGACTTCTGGAATGTTGGGGGACCAGTATCAGCTCAGGAGCTCATCCTGTGGAGGGATGAAAGCTGACTGTGGGAACAGCTGGTGTCAGGGAGTAATGAAGAATTTAAAGAGACCAATGGGCCAATCCAGCAGGGCTTTGCTAGGAACATGGCTTCATGAGGTCACGTGAGTGACCCTGCAGGATCCAGCCCTGAGTGCTGAGCTCTACTGGGGAGGGACTGCCTCAACCTTTTAAAAAGGCTGAGGCATAGGGACACCTGGGTGGCTCAGTCGTTAAGCGTCTGCCTTCGGCTCAGGTCATAATCCCAGGGTCCTGGGATCGAGCCCCTCATGGGGCTCCCTGCTCCAGGGGAAGCCTGCTTCTCCCTCCCTCCCACTCCCCCTGCTTGTGTTCCCTCTCTCGCTGTGTCTCTCTGTCAAATAAATAAAATCTTAAAAAAAAAAAAAAAAAGGCTGGGTGCCTGGGTGGCTCAGTTGGTTAAGCGACTCCCTTCAGCTTGGGTCATGATCCCGGAGACCTCCCCTCTCATGCTGTTTCTCTCTCTCTCTCTCAAATAAATAAATAAAATCTTAAAAAAAAAAAAAGGCTGAGGCATAGATCAGAATGCCAGTCTGCCATTTTATACTTTGGATGTTCCTTTCCATTGCAAGGCTAGATACTTTCACCGTGTAGGGTCTTTCCCTAGGGCAGTGTGGCTGGGAAGTCAGGTGAGTAATGAGATACTGCTTGCTGAGTAGGACTGGAAGACAACAGTGACAGGGATTTCAGGGACATTCACCAGGACAGTCACAAGTCCCTGCTCCCACAGAGTGGATACTTCTCTGTTGGTCTTCACCAGATGCAGTCCTTTTAGGTTACCCTAGATGGTCTCTGTTTACTTGTTTTTCTTTATTCCCCTTTAAGAATCCATACTGATCATCTTCCTCTTGTTGCAACACTCCTATACATGACAGCACATTCTTGTTTGGTCATGTTTTCAGTGTAGTTCTCAGAAATTACATTTGAGTTCTTGTAACTGGTAAGGTGTCTGCTTACTTGTGGCATATCATGTCTTCTTGAAATATCTTCATGGTCCTGACACCTTGTCATTGCTCTTAGACATCTCTTGTCTCGTCTCATCTTTAGCATGGGTCATTTGTACAGAACTCAGTCATTATCTGTGGATTTTGCTAGTTTAAGTTGCAGAGGTAATCTGTGTGCCTCCATCCTGGGTGTCCCTCATGTTGCTCCAATGCATGAATCACAAGGAATAGATCCAAGAATGAATGGGACTGATCATGTTTAAAAGTATTAAAATTTTGGGGCGCCTGGGTGGCTCAGTCGGTTGAGTGTCTGCCTTCGGCTCGGGTCAGGATCCCAGGGTCCTGGGATCGAGCCCCGCATTGGGCTCCCTGCTCCGCGGGAAGCCTGCTTCTCCCTCTCCCACTCCCCCTGCTTGTGTTCCCTCTTTCGCTGTCTCTGTCTCTCTCAAATAAATAAATAAAATCTTTAAAAAAATAAAAGTATTAAAATTTTAAGGTAAATAATTAGTGGGAAGTTGGGGTGTAAGAAGGAAAATGCTTAGGAATGACATGATTGAAAAATACAGTAAGTCCAAAAGCAAGGTTGAATAGGGCCAAGAAGGTTAAAGAGTAGGCGAGTAAGTGAAAAATAGGAAATGCCACACGGTACACTTGCATAGGTTGTGAACCGCTCCTATGTAGGAGGGCTCCATCTACATCATAGACCTGGTAGCTCTGTAGGACTGCGATAATAACGGCATAGCAGAAACATGAAGTTTTTCATTCTGATGAAATCATTGTTTTATAACAATTTTTCTGACGAGGAAAGTAAAGTATGCTGGAAGACAATTCTGCCTGGGTCTCACACGTTTCTTCACATTTTGCCAGCGGACTCACTGACTGTTTATTCCAGATTATCTTTTGAAAAATGTGCGTAGTAAACAGCCTTGGAAAGTAGAAGTATTATCTCTGTGGAGGAAAGGGCAAGCAGGCTTACTGCCTACTGTAGAAGATTTGGGTTCCCTGAATTCAGGTTTCTCTCCTGTAATGAAATTCCCTGCATGTGTAGATGTCACCTCTTTCCATTGTTGTGGGCAAAGGGGCTTTTCTTGTTGCGAGAAAAAGCTGACACTCTGCTATTTCTGTGAGTAATAAAGTCCCTTGTTTCTGGCCCAGAAGTCTCGTGTCTTCTGCCACCATCCATGAAACTGTGGTAGGCTACATTGTTAGCATGCTTGTAGGGTAATATCGCAGTCCTTGACACGGTGTCTGGAAGAAGGGGAGCATTTTTCTGAATAGCAAAAAGGTGCTCTATGAACTACCAGCAGCCAGAGAGGAGCTAAGTCCAGAGCATAATATAAAGAGGAGAGAAGGTGGGGATAAGCAGCGGAGATGGTTTTTCTAGCCAATTCATTGATCATCTATGTACAGTGAGGCCCCTCACAACTTCTAAGATCAGTGCTGACCTCAGTGTAAGATGCTTAACCCTTGCTATCTAAAAAACTCAAGTAGGGGAGATTTTAGAAATCTCTTCCTCAGGTAAGGCCCCAGGCCAATGAAACAGACTCTCTAGGGGTGACAGGCCGGCATCAGTATTTTTTAACGTTACCCAGATGATTCCGTCTGTAGCCAAGCTGAGAGCCTAAGATTCTGAGATTTACTGATGATGTTCCCTTCCTCCCGTCGAGTCAGCACTTACTGGTCTCTGGCCTTCCACTCTGGGATTTAAGGCTTGCTCCTTCTCCAGATATGTACCTGGCTTCGTTCAGAGCCCTACAGTCTCTCCAGTTCTAGCCGGCTCTTTCTTCAGTCTTTCCCTGGGGCCCACAGATCTCTCCAGATGCTATCTCTTGTCTCCATGCAGTTCTGACTTTTGTCTGATTTCTCCTAAGCTGTGTCAGGCTCCACTGGGCAACAAATTATTTCTTTAAAGACCCTAAGCACTGAAAAAAAGATGCTGTAAGCACTTGCCCGTTTCCCTTGTTGGGCAATTGAGCGTTGCTGTCACCTCATGTCACACTTCCCTGACGCTGAGCGGGGACGTCGGTGCGGCCTGTACATTGGATGGCAGGGGACATACCTGCTTGACAGAGTTTCAGCCGGCACCTGGCAGGGTCTGTTCCCTCAAAGCCCACTCAGCAGTGTGGGTGGATCTGTCAAAGGCTCATTTCTGGCAGTTAACTGGGCATTGGCCTGTCTGGCGTGGTTGTCTTAGCCCCAAGACAGCCTTGGCTCTCCTCCTCCTGGGAAATAACCCAATATGTGTTTTAGTTCATCTAGGCAAGCAAATTTACTTGTTGAGAAGAGTGGTTCTCAAACTGTGCGTATCAGAGTCACCCGGAGGGCTTGTCCCTAGAGTTTCTTTTATTTTATTTTTTAAAGATTTTTATTTATTTATTTGAGAGAGAGAATGAGATGGAGCATGAGAGGGGGGAGGGCCAGAGGGAGAAGCAGACCCCCCGCTGAGCAGGGAGCCCGATGCGGGACTCGATCCCGGGACTCCAGGATCATGACCTGAGCCGAAGGCAGTCGCTTAACCAACTGAGCCACCCAGGCGCCCCTAGAGTTTCTTTTAGAAAGTCTGGGAAGGTCCAAGAATGAACATTTCTGACAAGTTCCCAGGTGGTGTCTGTGCTCCTGGTGCCATACCCACGCTCTGGGAACCACTGCCTTACACCCGTGCTGCAGTGTGGTCCACACCAGCGTCCGCAGGGGGCTTGCTGGAAATGCAGAATTCCAGGCCCAGCCCGGACCTGTTAAATCAGAATCTATGTTCATTAAGTTTCTCAACATGTGATCTGTGTGCACCTTGAAGCATGAGAAGTGTTAGTTTAGATCACGTATTTTTGACCCCATTTAGGACTTTTAAATGTCAAACAAAGATAAGCCTTATTGGTTATCAATATCCAAAGTAGTCAGTACATTATACTATATTCTGGCCACAAAGGAGACCAAATAAGAATTTATGGGTGACTTAGGGCAAATCTATCACAACTCCAAATGCCTCAACATTATGTCCTTCTAACAGAGAGAAGGTAATATCTTCAAATTGATAGCAATTTAAAAGATTGTTAATACTCATATGCTCAGTGCAGTCTAATGCCAGACGGGAAAGATGAGTTTTTTTAGCCCCTTCTCTGCCAGTAAAACAATGGATGACATAACATACACACTTAATTTAGAGGTTACTTAGAGTTTGGATACTTTGAAAATCAGTCAGTTAGAAGTACATCTGTTAGTTCTGGGTCACTGATGGTAGGAGATAGAAAAAAAAAGAATGCAATTTTTACAGTTACTCTTACATTTTGGAAAAAAATAAAGATAGGCAGACAAGATAAAGTACATCAAGTTTGCTTTCTAAAAAGTGGGAGTATCGAGATCTTGTTATTTTCCCTAAGTGTCAATGAAGATTTTGGATATCAAAATTAAAGATGAATGATCAGATAAGTGTCCAAACACAGTAAGAGAAAATAATTTGCATCTGTCAATAAATTCTGACAAGCTGTGTGAGAATAATCAAGCAATACCAACAAAACCTCTACTTCAAGCCCAAAATGTGCAAAATGGAAGCATTTAGTAAATGTTTCTGAAATATAAGATCTAAATGCTACAAAAGCCTGAAACTTAATAGTCAAAATAGCCATCTGTCTTGAGTGTTTATGATGGGCCAGCAGCCGAGCTAAGAGCTTTATCTATATTCAACACAGTCTCATTAATCCTTGCCCAAACCTTCTGCTCCCATGTTTGCTTGTATTTTGCAGATGAGGAAACCAAAGCTCAAGGAGTATGCGTCTTTATATACGCATGCCATCATTATGGACACTCTCTGCAAGAACCTCTTGAAATAATTATTAGCTTATTTTGCCTGAATGTTGCTGGTAGGAGGATACAGAGGAAAACATTCACATATTTCTTTCTTTGCCTTTTATTAAAATGAAGAATGTTTCGATGACCAATCCTCTTGCCGTGCCCGGGACTGAGGCATTTCATTGCCAAAGCCGGGAAAGTCCCAGGCACACTGCGATGTTGGTTAGTCTCTGGAAAATTCAGGGAAGTGCAGCCTTGGAGTTTAGGCTCTGTAAGCGGTGGGCTCCGGCTTTTCTCTAGTTTTATTTTTTTTTTAAGATTTTATTTTTATTTATTTTTAAAGATTTTATGTATTTGACAGAGAGAGAGGGAGAGAGAGCGAGCACAAACCAAGCGTGGGGGGCAGAGGGAGAAGCAGGCTCCCAGCTGAGTAGGGACCCTGGGATCATGACCTGCGCCAAAGGCAGCCGCTTAACTGACTGACCCACCCAGGTGTCCCTCTAGTTTTAGTTAACAAGCATTTCTTAGCGAGAAAAGGGGACTAAAAGCCCTTTAGTGCCTTAAGATCTATTCTTAATGGATTAGTGAATGCTGAGCCTGCTGGCACTAAAACTGGCTTTTTTTTGGTGACTTTTTTTCCCCTCAGCCATGATGATGGATCTGTAGGAGATGGTGGGCCCGACGAGAATCATAGTCTGACGTCTAGGAACCGGATACTGTGATTTGCCCCACCTAAAGGAACACGGTGAAGTGATCAGCTTTGAACGACCCTGGATGTGTTTCAAAGGCTGTGTGCCCTTTCACTTTTTTAACTGGTAAGTGACAAGGCCAGCCTTCCTTGCTGTACACCAGCAATCTCCCCTGTTTTGTTATTTTGGCTCGTGAACTCATCTTCAGTGAGGTTGATGTGGTTTGAAGTGGTGGGGTTTGGAGCCCATGGGCAAGAAGGAATTCTTGAGACATTTTTGGTGCAAAAAGGTAATTTTATTAAAACACAGGGACCCGTGGGCAGAAAGAGCTGCCCTGGGGCCGTGAGGAACGGCTGATTATACACTTTGGAGCTGGGGGGAGGTAAAAGCAAAGGGAAATTTCCAAAAGTACTTTCATCTGCTAAAGAAGACTCCCAAGACCCTGGAGGCCTAGCTATTGTCAAGCTAAGGTTGTTTTTCCCCCTAACAAGGCATTAGCATTAAGACAGTTGGGTTTCCTGGAGGAACATTATACTCTGCCTGCCTCAAGTACTTGACGATGGGCTGCAGCTTATAAGGACATTTCATTTCGTCTCCATTTCCTTCTGCCTTTGCTCTCCGTATCAGAGTTTTGTCTGTGGATCCCCACAGTGGCCTGAGTTGAGGGCGCAGCCCTTCCTTACTCACAGCAGGTTTTATTTCCTTCTGCTGGGAGTCCCTGCATTTCATGGTCTTGGAGTGGGGAGGGTGGAAAGCATTTCTTATGCTAATTTCTGGCTTGGTAGATGAGGATCATGCGCGTAGTATAAAGTCAAATCATAAGACCATGGAAGGGCAGACCTATGATTGTTAATTCTTGTGGGGGATACTTTCCTGCCCCTACTCAGAGCCCACATGGAGATAGGCAGGCATTCTTGTCTCCCTATACTGGTGGATAATTTTTCTGGTGTATCTAGGGCTGTCAGATGAAATACAGGGCTCCCAGTTAAATATGAATTTCAGACTGGCAACAAATACTTTTCCAGTATAAGTATGTCCCAAATACAATACTGGACATACTATATTAAAAACTTATTTGCTGTTCATTTGCATTACTGATTTAACTAGATGTCCTATTGAAGGATAGTTAGAAGGCAGGCAGGCAGGGAGAAGGGGCCCCCGCCCGAAGAGGCAACACTCTTAAAAGGATTTTACACCACCCTGGAAGGAGCCCTCCACCCTTTCCCACGTCATAGGTAGATGACAAAAACCTGATTAGATGACAGGTGCTGGGAGGGTTAATCGGATAAAAACAGCCCGCCAACAAGTGCATAAAAACCCCTAGACCTAGAAACTCGGGTGGCAACCCTCTCGGGTCCCCGCCCTCTTCGGGAGCTTTGTATTATCACTTTGCTGTCGCTCAATAAACCTTGCTTTGGTGCCCACACTCTGTCTGGTCTATCTTCATTCTTTGAAGTGGTGTGACCAAGAGCCACGGGCATCGACAGAGAAAAAAATCCTCTAACGCTGTTAATTTGCTAAATATGGCAACTCTGGGCGTATCTTTTACTTGGGCCGAGGTCTTTTTTGGGCAGTCAAGCTTTATTTGGGGTCTCGGTTGTAACTTCTCGACTGAGGTCTCCTTCCATGAAGACTTTAAACTCAATTCTGAGGGGTGCGTGGGTGGCTCAGTTGGTTAAGCATCTGACTCTTGATTTACGCTCAGGTCATGATCTCAGGGACCTGAGATGGAACCCTGTGTCATGTCAGGCTCTGTGCGGGGTGTGGAGCCTGCTTAAGATTCTCTTTCCCTCTCCCTCTGCGCTACACCCCCACTTTGTGCCCATGAGAGCGCACACACACATGCTCTAAAAATAAAATTTCAACCCTGAGATTGTGAGGCTGGCAGCAAGCTTGAAAGCCCCACCAACCACATGATTGACACACTCTTGGCTCTCTGGCTTCCTGTTGTAGTTTTCAGTTTTATTCTCATTTTTGGCCCTTGGAGTTCCCTTATTTTCTTCTAAGCTCAGGCATGTCTTTAAGAGAATGTTTGTTATATTTTGTCCAGGATTTTCAGGTGTTTTGAAGTGAAAGGGTTCCAGGTTACCTGGGCTGTCCTATTACAGAACATTGAAACTGCCACCCCTCTGTAAAAATCAACTAGTAATGAAGGATAGTTGGCAGGCAGGCAGGGACAAGGGGCCCCGCCCTAAGAGGAAATCACCCTTTAAAGGATTTTACACCACCCTGGAAGGAGCCCTCCACCCTTCCCCACGTGATAGGTAGATGACAAAAACCTGATTGAATGACAGGCACCTGGAGGGTTAATCAGATTAAAACAGCCCACCAACTAGCCCATTAAGACCCCTAGATCTAAATGCCAAATGGCAACCCTCTCGGGTCCCCTGCCTCTTCGGGAGCTTTGTAGTATTGCTCAGTAACTATCACTCAGTAAACAGCTTTGCTGCCCACCACTCTTCATCTGGTCTACCTCTTCATTCCTCGAAGCAGCGTGACCAAGAACTGGGGGCACTAAAGGAAAAGAAATCCGGTAACACCGAGGCCTCTGGTACTATATTGGTGTCAGGAAAAGTTAGTATTCAGCTCTCTAGACTTTCGGAGCTGTTCATAGGAGGGAGATATTATGCATGGTGAAGTATATTTTGACCTAAATATAAGTCAACAATGTAGTGAGATACTTTGAAATCAGGCTATTATAAAACAAATAAGTTTCGAATGTACCAAAGGCTAAAGATACATGGGAAAGAATAATGACAGAGCACCTAATTGAAGACAATGTAATTTTAAGTCTAGATGATTTGATTCCTATGGTAGTGTTAATGGGTGATCACTAAATTCCCTTAGAGCAGGAACCCTCCCCAGCAGGGTTTCGATTTCCCCTTCTTGGCCTGTGACTGGGGTTTGGCTCTTGAAAGGGAAGAGCCAGCAAGTGATTTGTGCCTTCTCCTCTTTTCTTTGTCATGATGATCATCCAGTGGTCAGAGGCAGGGAACACCCACAGCTGATTTCTATGGATATGTAGAGTGAGCAAGAAAAAAAAAAACTCTTTGTACTTTTAACCCACGGGGTGGGGGAGTACAATTGGTCTATCTTGACTGATACAGGTACCCTAGACCCTCAGGCATGATGCTAGGTACTGAAGCTGCAACAGTCAGCCGATTAAATGGAGTCTTTCTCCTCATGGAATTTAGGTTCTGATGCAGGACACAGAGATTAACTACATAGAAAAATTAACATTAAAAAAAAAACTGCGGGGCGCCTGGGTGACTTAGGGGGTTAAGTGACTGCCTTTGGCTCAGGTCATGATCTCAGGGTCCGAGGATCGAGCCCCACTTAGCGCTCTCTGCTCAGCGGGGACCCTGCTTCTCTCTCTCATGCTCCTTCTGTGCTCTCCCTCTCTCTCTCTCTCAAATAAATAAAGCCTTAAAAAAAACAAAACTGAGATAAAAGTTTTGAAGGAAACCAATTTTTGGTAAAATTAAAATGCATTTCCTTAAAATGATACCCCACCTATTTCTAGAAAAGCCAGAGGCTATTACAAAATCAAACACAATGCACATTGACCAGAGATACATTAATATAGCAGAGGAATCAATGTTACAGGGTCCTTGGGACAAAGCAATTACTGCAGTAGGGCACAATAATTTTCTACTTCTCTGGAGCTGAGGCAAAAAGAGGAAATATTTGAGTAATATGATTCTTATTGCCTGACAGTAGGACACAGGCCAGCTTTTTCAGGAACTGAAGTTTTTCTTGCCCTGAATCAAGAAGCAGTTTCTTGTCTGGGTCTTCCACGAGGGATGTTGCACAACTTAATGGGCAGTAACTCTGATTTTGCAAAAGTCACAGGGACATTGTTTAAGTGGATGTTCCCACTTCTGTGGGAAGGATCCATATTTTCCTCAAAAAAGAGCATGAAATGGAGCACCTGGGTGGTGTTGGGGGAATTTCATTGTCCCCTAAACTATTGCTGTGCTTGAGGCCCTTAGCATTTCTTACTTTGGCCAAAGAAAAGGCCGCCTAAGTGTACTGTCTGCTTCTAACCTCATTCTCTTAACTGCATCCTCCTTTAGACCACAAGAGTGTTCTCTCTAAAACACAAGTCTTTGTTAGGTGTTTGTATAAGTTACTCAAGGGCTTCCCATCATTTAAAGAAGTTTCTTAAAAATGCAATCTTGGGCAAATGCATCAGAGCCACCTGGAGTGGTTGTTAAATGGAAGATTTCTGGCCCTTGCCCAGATCTATGGAATCAGCACCTCGGGGGGGGGGTGTACTTTTCAAAAAATATTTTTATTTTGAGAGAGAGAGAGAGAGAACTGCAATGCGGTGGGGGAAGGGGCAAAAGGAGAGGGAGAGAGAATCCTTAAGCAGATTCCAGGCTCAGCACGAGCCACATGGCCGGCCCCATCTCACAACCCCAAGTTCATGGCCTCAGCCAAAATCGAGTCCACCACTCAACCGACTGCGCCACCCAGGCGCCCCAGGGGGGTGTGTACTTTTATCATGCTACCTGGGTGATTCTATCATGCCGCCTGAATGAGATCTAAGCATCCTAAAAGGACAGGAATGTTCTGATCTCTACTCCTGTCTCCAGCCTTATCTCTTGTCAATTTCTCTGAATTCCCCCAAACACCTAACTGCTTGTAGGTTCTCCCCAACTCCAGCACGCATAACTCACGGTCTTTCCACTGTCCCCACTGCCCAGAGTGCCTTCTCCTCCCTTAGCTATGTTGACTGCTCCCTGCGTTTCCATCCCAGGCATCCCGCCCCTCTCCTTAGGCATCACCACCCTCTCACCTCTCCAGGCGTAGTCATTTGCGGCTCCCCTGGGCACATGCTCGCCCATCCTTAGCATACCATCCTGGAAATTCTGGAGGCCTCAAGTAGATGTCACAGGGGAGGGGACATTTCATTAAGGCCTGTTGAAAAAAGGACGAGTAGAATTTTCCCGGTGGAGCAAAGGGGTAAGGGCATTTCTGGCGGAGGGAGACTTCAGGGAGAAGCGGCCAGTGAGGTGGAGCTGCACCTGCACGGGGTGGGGTGGCCGGGGAGGCAGCAGCAGCAAGACAAGGGGGCGGTGTCATCAGTGCCTCCTTAAGGAAGGCTCCACGTGCCTCGAGGCCCCCGACCCAGAAAGCCAGGGGGGACAGTGCCACCTACTGTGCCAAACTGGTTTCCCAGGCCCTTGCGTGGGAAGAAGCCAGTAGGTGGCTCTGGACCTAGTCATCACAATGGGAGTTGTAAATTGAAATCTCTCATAGAATTAGATCTCCGCTGTGACATATGGAACACAGTCAACACATAATGAGCATTATTCTAACTCGTGATATTTTCTTCCCATCAAGCCTTTAATAAAGGTCCTGTCTTTTATTATTTTATGGAATGTATCTTACTTGCTTCCATGATTTTCCCTTTATCCTTCTTGATATTTTCATCCTAAAGTTATATAAGTATCTGAAGCTTAATTGCTGCAGCTCGTTTTAATAGTCTCCATTCACCGTTGAGATTTTTACTTCCATATAATAGCGACATATCAAGAATTATACCACCAGCTCTTTCAATCTGACGTGGTCCCCAGGGCCTAGTGGGTGCTCAATAAACTAGTGGGGAGAAGGCGAGCAGGGCTTTCAATGATGGGATCTTGTGACCCACAGGTGTTTGAACAGTGCTATTTCTTTTTTTTTAATTTTAATTTTTTTATTTTCAAAAGGTTTCTTTTTCTTCCTTCCATTTCTTTCGTTCATTCTTTCTTTTCTTTCTTTCTTTCTCTTCTCTTCTCTCTCTCTCTCTTTTTTAAGATTTTACTTATTTATTTGACAGAGAGAGACACAGTGAGAGAGGGAACACAAGCAGGGGGAGTGGGAGAGGGAGAAGCGCCCGGGCGCCCAAGCGCCCTCTTTTCTTCTTTTCTTTCCATTGTTTGCATATAACACCCAGTGCTCCATGCAGTACATGCCTTCTTTAACTGTGTAAGACTGATAAACAGTGCTATTTCGATTAAAGGCCACTTCTTCCTCTACAATTTCGGAGTTAAGTCCTTAAGACTATTCTGGATGGAAGAACCTTGCAACTGCGCAACTTACCTAATTCACTGTCTGAGCCTTTCCACAGACTCAAAAGCCATGGGGGCTCAGAGAAGCTCCAGAGGGAGGCACTGGCCCCTCTAGGCTCAGACCCCCACACTTACAGGGGGACCTCATCCCTCCATCTCCTTCCCTTACAGAGATAAGGACAGGGGACTGGGGGCAGCAAACATGCTTCCAGGGACTTTTTTTTTTTTTTTTTTAATTCTCTACAGGGAATTGCAGAAAAAAACAGATTCTCCCTCATTTTGTCTCCTCCGAAATCTTTCTGTCTCACACCAAGACAAGTTGAAATTGATCTAGGGGCACCTGGGTGGCTCAGTTGGTTAAGCGACTGCCTTCGGCTCAGGTCATGATCCTGGAGTCCCGGGATCGAGTCCCTCTTCAGGCTCCCTGCTCAGCGGGGAGTCTGCTGCTCCCTCTGACTCTCTTTCCTCTCGTGCTCTTTCTCTCTCATTCTCTCTCTCTCAAATAAATAAATAAAATCTTTAAAAAAAAAGAAAAATTGCTCTAAGGCCAAGCCCTTGATTGCTTTATTTTTGCATTTTTCCTGCTTTTCCACACAGAGGTGGGTCACATGGTTAATCAAATTCAGGAAAACTCACATCAGTTAGCAGTTCAGGAGCATTCCACGCTTGGGGGAAGTGTCATGTCAAGCAGATGAGGTCACTCACGGGTGTGAGATAGAGCAGTGCTCCTTAAACTTTCGGGAACTTAGAATCACCTGGAGAGCTTATTAAAACACAGATTATGGGCCCCATCTCCAGAATTTCAGTAGGACTGTGACAGAGACTGTAAATTTGCATTTAGGATTGTAAGATTTAGCAAATTAAAAAAATGCAAGATGCCTAATTAAATTTGAATTGCAGATAAACACATTTTTAAAGGATAAGTATGTCCTCAAGTTACATGAGACATACCCTACATATTTTTTATCATAAAAATTTATTCACTGCTTATCTGAAATTCCAGTTGAACTGGGTGTCCTGAATTCCATCTGGCAACGTAATTTGCATTTCCAACAAGGGCCGCGGGGATGATGACGTTCCTGGTCTGGAGACCACAGTCGGAGCCACAGGTATAGACTAGCCTGAGTGCAGAGCCCTAGGGAACACCGACACTTAACCAACAAAAAAATCTGTAAGCGAGGCAGCAGAATTAGGAGTGTTTTCTCAAAACCCAAAGGAGAAAAATGTTTTAAAGACACGGAGTGATCAACAGGGTCACTTGTCAGAGTTTGGGGGACTCTGAGAATTGAAAAAAAGAAATTATATTTGGCAACGGGAAGACTTCAGGAATCTTCATCAAAGCATTTTCAGGGCAGTGATGGGGCAGGAAGCAGCTGGCAGGGAGAAGCAGTGGGGGCGTGGTGGACATGACCGGCTGCTTACGATTATTCCTATTCCGAGGGGCTTCTTTGTGAAACAGAATAAAGGGGGATGCAGGGGCGTTTGAAGGTATTTTTTTATTAAAGGGGATGGTGGCTATATTTTATGGGCATAGAAGAAGTCAGTATAAGGAACACCTGAGATTACAGAAACTGGAGAAGAGCAAATGGGGACACAGCTCCGAGCGATGGCCGGCTTCTGATGTGTAAGCAGGGAAGGCTCTCGGTTCTGTGCGGAGATCCATCCGGCAGAGCCTTGGGCGGCAGTTGCCTTTTTTTAAGTGGTCAGACATAGAGGGCTCAGGTCTGAGGCGTCTGACAATTTGCTGCCCAAATCCACCCCCTTTTAAAGGGATTTAATCAGTTTTGGGTCTCTGCAGACGTCCGCCGATTCTGCCCGTTATCAGTTCTGGGGTGTGGGCTGACGCTGGTCCTGCCAAGTCTTGTAGCTGCAGGACCTTACCTGCTTGTGTCATTGCTTGACACAGGCCCCTGCTTGACATGAGGGACTCCATTATACTCTCTCCACTAGGTAATAGAAAAATTGGCGTAATACATTCAATAACCCAAACCCCACCATTAAAGCATTGTTTTACTCTATCGTGTTAAGACAATCTCACGTTCAGTTTGTTTAAAAGGTCAGAGTTTCTCAAATTGCAGTCTTGGGAGCATCTGCCACAGTGTTAGTTGTCAGGAGTGTCCGGAAGCCGGGAATCTCTTCTGAGCCAGAGAGAACCATTTTGAGAAATCCTGGAAGGAATGGGTAGGCTCTGAGGCAGAGCCACCAGACTTATTTTCCTCTGGTTTGACTGGCTTGCTGCACTTGATCTTAGCCAAAAGGCCGAGAAGCGATTGACTGGCTTGCTTCTTCTCTGCTGGCTCAACATGGACTATGTATCTCTTCACCCAGAGAACTTGGGAGGCAGGTCAGCGACAAAATGAATCAGAACCCAGCAAAGCAGAGGAGGTGCTCCTGTGAGGTTTCCATGCAGCTTCTCCAATACCCTCTTCCCCCGCCCCGACCCACTGCTGTGGGGAAAGGTTAGGAGGTTTGAAGTGAACATACATATCTTATCCTCACTGTTGTGGGGATACATATCCTCACTGGGTTAACTCCAGAATGCAGCCTGCTTTATTCTTTTTCCATTTGCATTTGACTTAACTATTTGTATTTAGCACATTGAAGATTTGATGCTTGATTTTAAAATTGAGTGTGTTATCATTTAATAACATTTATTCAGTGTATATTATTTATATCATATTAAATAAGTATTATTTAACACATGACATTCATTATTATTTAGTAAATAACATTAATATTACTGAGAATAACATTTATTAAAAGTTATTTAAATAAATAGCATTCAATTTCTATTAATACGAATTTAAAATATAGAAATGACTTAATTTTGAAATGCATAATCATGTTTTCTTGCACAATGAAATAACCAAGTATTGCATTTGAGAATGTCCATACATTGACCCTGTCCTTGTCATGGCCAGTGTGTCCCTGGATTTTTATTGTGAACGTCTGAACAGAGGGTTGCGCCCCCTGGGGCCAACCACAGTCTAGTGGGCTCGAGCCATTTCTGTTCCAGCCCTCTCCCCAGATTAATTGAGGAGGCATTTGGGGCAACCAAATGTCAGAATTACAGAAAATCACAAACCAGTACTACTACCCACATCCCTCTGCCCTCTTCTGGAAATAACCCAGTGGTGCTGACTTTGAAGTGGGTGGTCTCCTTCTGCGGGCCCAGAAGGAGAAGGGAGCTATACGAATTGCCTGGGCAGAAAGAGCTGATGATGATTTGATGTCCTTTGTTATCTCGGGAGGTATGATAACGCACTGAATGAACATTTTGTTATTGGATTTTCGAGACAGTGTGTTTTGCTCTACTGGGCAACTATCTGTTGAGAATGAGGTTCCAGGATACAGTTCCAACCTGTGTAATTCTGAGAAAAGAATTTCCAGGGTGGGGTTTTTGTGTGGCCCCCACCCCTTGTCCCTGGTTAACATAGCCTGCTTATTCCAAAGAAGGTGAGAATTCGTCCTTCAAAAGTCTCCGCTGAATCGATGGAGTACTTGCACTTCGCTAAAAGGTCGAGCCTGAATGCCTCCAAACTACTGTTGAGCACAGGCAAAAGAAAAAAAAAAAAAAAGAAAAAAGTCAAGTTTTTAAACCATAGCAATCTTCCTGTCCATTAAAAATAACAAAATTTATTTCCCACGTTCAGGAATTGGTGGTATAGTGGTGAGCATAGCTGCCTTCCAAGAAATTTTTTCAGTTTCTCTTCCTCACTCACCCAGTTTATCACTGAGTGAATAATGGCTTGATTTTGACTCACACCTAGGAAAGCTCACCTGTGTTGGGGGAGATGGTACAGTCATGGCCAGATTATTCAGTCCTGAATTTGATACTGGCGTTGATACAGCCTGATGTTGATACTGGCGTTGGGGCACCTGAGAGGAGAAAGCAGGGTGAGGTTTTTTTTCTCTTTTCAACTCAGAAGTATAGGAAGTTGAGATTTCTCCATCTCAAAACTGGGTTCAGCAAAGCATGCTACTTTAGTTCTGTAGTTACTCATTATACTTATTTATTTTCTAGAAAGATAGGTCAAGGTCACTGAGCTCCATAGATATGTCAGGAATAATGAAATAGAAAGAAAAAAACCCATTAATCTCATAATTGTTTGTCATAGTCATGGATGACATTATAGTAACTAATAAAGTTAATAAAAGTTAAACAAAATTTAATAAAACCAAAACATCTGCAAAAATTAAGCACCTACTAAATTGACCACTGACGTGATGTTTCATTTTTTGAATTTGTTCTTCAGTTTAGAAATAACTAACAATTGAAAAGAAAGGGGTGCCTGGCTGGCTCAGTGGGTGAAGCATGCCACTCTATCTCGGGCCTTGAGTTCGAGCCCCACATTGGGCGTAGAGCCTACTTGGAAAAAAAAAAAAGGAAAGAAAGAAAATACTTTAATTTTAAATCATCACCGTGAAGTGAAATATTTCATACATTTCATACATAAGTTAAAATTTGCAGTCACCAAACAAAAACAGTACACCTCTCAGTTTGCACTCTCTGTGTTTTAAATTTAAACACAAAATAACAACTCTGAGCAGTTACACAGAATGAAAGAATTTGAAGTAATTCCGTTTCTATTTCTTTCCTGTACTATCATTGTTTACTTGGAATCTGCCGTTTTAATGCAGGGATGTGTCGTTCCACTGGAGCTGAAGGCACAAACTGCCTGGAGGGGACTTGGAAGAGTCTTTTTTTTTCTTTTTTTAAGATTTTAATCATTTATTTGAGAGAGAGAGACAGAGTGACAGAGAGCACAGGTGGGGAGGAGAGGGAGAAGCAGCCTTCCCTCTGAGCAGGGAGCCCGATGTGGGGACTTGATCCCAGGACCCTGAGATCATGACCTGAGCTGAAGGCAGAGAGGCTCAACCAACTGAGCCACCCAGGCGTCCCGGGAGTTGGAAGATTCTAAAGCATATGAATGTACTCTTGAAATAGACAAGTTCTTGTGTGAAGGGAGGTAAGTTGGGAGTTCTTTGAATTAATTTCCAAGTAGAATACTCAATGGAGGATAAGTAATAAAACTGTGTTAATTTGAAACTTGCACATATATTATTATTTTTTTAAAGACTTTATTTATTTGAGAGAGAGAGCATGAGGGTGGAGGGGCAGAAGCAGACTCTCTGCTAAGCAGGGAGCCATCCAGAGGTGGGGCTCTATCCCAGGACCCTGAGATCATGACCTGAGCTGAAGGCAGACACATAACTGACTGAGCCACCCAGGTGCCCCACGTATATTATTTAATTTTTTTTAATTTTTTTTAAAGATTTTATTTATTTATTTGAGAGAGAGAGAGAGAATGAGAGATAGAGAGCACGAGAGGGAAGAGGGTCAGAGGGAGAAGCAGACTCCCTGCCGAGCAGGGAGCCCGATGTGGGACTCGATCCCGGAACTCCAGGATCATGACCTGAGCCGAAGGCAGTTGCTTAACCAACTGAGCCACCCAGGCGCCCCCACGTGTATTATTTAAAACTCAACCATAATCACACCGATTGTTTAGAATTTAGACCACCAACAAAATGTTTTTTGGGAAGGAGTGTTCTATCACTGGATTGTTTAGACTTGCTAGTGGATGGTAACAATAAAAAGCAGGCTGACTTTAAGTCCGTTTTATTGCTTCTTAATAACTCCTTTACAGATAATGCTCTTCTTATTGCCAGCAGCCGAGGCTAAAGAGATTTAAGTGAACATGTGGGAGTTCTGCTTACCGGCAACTGACTCAGGTGGGAGGAATACTCTTTCTTGCTCTTTCTTTCCTCATCTCTGCAGTATGTTAGGAGGACATGATGGGTAGAGCTTTAGCACCTTCTTCCATCATGAGGGAAACTTGAGGATGGAAGCTAGTGATAGGGTAGAGTAGAAAACTTGAGGACCCAGGTCCCTGCTTGTGTGGACAATACTAAGTAGCCCCTGATGAGTCATGACCTTATAGAATCCCCTCCCATTGGGTTAAGATGGAACCCATGACTTGCTTCTTCTAAGCAATGGGACATGGCAAAGGAGATGGGCTATCACTCCCACAGTGACACTTCATTATATGGCAAGGGTGAAAGATTTCGTAGATGTAATTAAGGTCCCTAATCAGTTGACTTCCAGTTCATCAGAAGGGAGATTATTCTGGGTAGACTTGCCCTAATCAGGGGAATCTTTAAAAGAGGGCCTATGCCTTCCCTGAATTCAGAGATTCCAAGCAGCAGAGACTCTTTTTGCTCACTTGCTGGTCTTGAAAAAGTAATGCTCCACAAAGGTTATAGCCACAAAGAAATGAACTCTGCCAACAATTCAGTTCTGAGGCAGCTTGGAAGTGGATTGTCCCCCCAGTCTCCTGATGATGATGCAGCCCAGCCAACACCTTGATTTCAGCTTTGTGAGGCCACCCAGCTAAGCCAAAGTCAGACTCTTCACTCACAGACACTGTGAGATAATAAAAGTGTGTTGTTTCAAGCTGTTGAGTTAGTGCTAGTTTGTTATGTAGCATAGAACACATAGAACACTAGTACATTGATGTCCGTGCTGTTGCTGTAACAGCCCAGGAATGCCTACCTCCAGGCTCCTTTTACAAAGTGAGCAAGAATTAAATTTCTCACTTCTTTAAACCATTATAATTTTAGATTTTCATTTATAGGTAGCAGACCCTCACCTTAACTGATTCATGGAGTAATGAGGAAGGGTTTATAGAAGATGAGTCATTTGTGGTTGATCTTAAAAGTGGATACAAATTCAGAAGGTGGAAACTGGGGTGTCTGGAGATAGAAAATGATTTTCCTGGGGCAGAGTGAATAAACATAAATTGTAGGTGTTTTGAAGAAATAAGAAATAATTCAGTTTCACTAGATTGAATGAGATGAGGCTGGAAAGGTAGATTAGAGCTGAATCAAAGCCAGAAGTGCTTGGAGATTATTTTTCTTTTTCTTTTTTTTTTTTTTTAAAGGTTTTATTTATTTATTTGAGAGAGAGAATGAGATAGAGAGAGCATGAGAGGGAAGAGGGTCAGAGGGAGAAGCAGACTTCCTGCTGAGCAGGGAGCCCAATGCGGGACTCGATCCTGGGACTCCAGGATCACGACCTGAGCCGAAGGCAGTCGCTTAACCCACTGAGCCACCCAGGCACCCTGGAGATTATTTTTCAAGCAATGGAGAGCAATGGAGATTTTCTGACCAGGGCGGTAGCATGAGCCGAGCTACGCCTTATTTTAGAAATGCAGTATGAGTCAGTTCTCTTCAGCTTGCAGAAACATATCTCAAAGTAGATTTTGTCTCAAAGAGATTTATGGGAAGAGAAACAGGAACTTAAAACAGGAGCCAGAGACCTCAGCAACCAGAAAGAGAGACTCATGCCTTAAGGGCTATTTGTCTTGTTATTTGACTTTGTTTTCTGCTGCAAGAAGCTTCTTGTGGCTGGAGCATTGCCCCTTACAGTTGCCCACCTAAGGGGAAAGAAGGGACTTCCCTTCCAGCTTTGGTTGAGGATATCTCTGCTGGAAGCTACACTTTGAATGGACAACCTTGGAATAATCCTGAAGGACAATGGGCAGGATATGATGACTGGCCTGAGTGTGTGTGTGTGTGTGTGAGAGAGAGAGAGAGAGAGAGAGAGAGAGAGAGAGAGAGAGTGTGTGTGTGTGTGTGTGGTGTCTGCTACTAGAAAAAGGAGCCTGGGGAATCAAAACAAAATGTTTATGTAAGTGTAATTTGAATTTCACGATTCTGTCTTTTCCTATCAGGGTCTCATGGACAAATGATGTACTCTTATGATTATATGCCACTAGGGGAATAAAATTTTAGTTGAATTTATATTTAATTTAGGAATAAAGGTATATACAAATGATTATTCATAATTTTACCAACGGTTTCTCCTTATCTCTGTCAATGTCAACCTAACTCTAAGCTATATAATTAAAATTAGTTTCCATTATACAAGTTTTTAATCCTCAATTATTAATTTATCTTATGTCCAAAGGATGTAAAATACTGTTATGCTTATCCATCACTGAAAGAAAAGAGAATTTCAGAATAGCTATTTAAATGTACTTTCGGGGCACCTGGGTGGCTTAGTTGGTTAAATGTCTGACTCTTGATTTCGGCTCAGATCATGATCTCAGGGTCCTGGGATTGAGCACAGGGGGGAGTCTGCTTGAGGATCCTCTCCCCCTGCCTCTCTCCCTGCTCTTTCTCTCAAATAAAGAAATAAATCTTAAAAAAAAAATGTACTTTCAAGTTCTTCAAATAATCTCAGTGAAATACTAACTCATTGATTAAGAAAGCAATATTCTTTTGCTCAAATATACTAGTAGACTTAGATAATTGTTAAATAAAATCTGAGGTCATCTAAGAAATATACTATTTTAACCTGCACCTTTGGGGCGCCTGGGTGGCTCAGTTGTTAAGCGTCTGCCTTTGGCTCAGATCATGATCCCAGGGTTCTGGGATCGAGCCCCGCGTCGCGCTCCCTGCTCTGTGGTAGGCCTGCTTCTCCCTCTCTCACTCCCCGTGCTTGTGTTCCCTCTCTCGCTGTGTCCCTGTCAAAAAAAAAAAAAAAAAAAAATCTAACCTGCACCTTTTACCATACATAATTTAGGTACCCATGAAATGTTTGGAAAGTTTAGGGTCTTTTTTTTTTTTTTCAAAGTAAGCTCCATGCCCAGCATGGGACCTGAACTCACAATCCTGAGATCAAGAATTGAGCCAAGATGAAGAAAGAGTCTGACACCTAACCGACTGAGTCTTGCAGGTACCCCTAGTGTCTTTTTCTAAATTCTTGGATATATTGATCATCTCTACATTTTATCTGGAAATATTCAAGCATATAAAGTTGACTCAGATCTGTAATTGACATGATAAACACCCATCTGAGTAATTGAAGATGCCAGCATTTAAAATGTCTGAAATATAAAATGCATTTTTCTAAAATGTGGCTGAACTACTTTCTGCAACACTTCCAGTCAGCTACTTGGTGGGTGCAGCTGATACTTTTTACCACTAGGTGCTACTCTTCCTCCATCACATACGTATCTCCAGGCTCAAAAGCAAGATAGATGCAAAACCAACTGAGTCCTTTGTTTCCTGACCGCTATTTAAACAAGCTAAAACTTCACCTTGCATATTTACTCATCAGTGTAACAATACAGTACTTTGAAAATGGTTGGCCAAGCATTCAACATTTTGTAGAAAGTGAAGCTTATCCCCGCTTTCTGCAGTATCACCCCATACCACATTTCAGAAAACTAGACTATCAATACCTCTAGTTGCTATTAATTCATATTCATGAAGCGAAGCTATGGGGTTATAATCTCATTAAAAAGACAATTGACATGACCATGATTTCTCCCCAGAAAGGTGGCATATTATAATATCTAAACAATTTTACATGTGAGATAATAAAAAACACAAAACTTGAAGTTATTATATATTACAAATCACCCAAAGGCCTTATTATTGATCTGTATTTGTGAAGGAGGAAAATGTATGGAATCTGTTTATAGTCTCATGCTAAATGTCTTGAGATAGATGATAAGTAGCTGATAGGATCCCTATTTGTTTAGCTTTTCTGGAAGGATTTCTCCCACCCAGTGCTTGTGGATAAGCACATCGTAAACATTTTTGAAGATAAAGAGGACATAAACCACCCTCCTATTTATGTCCACTGGACCTTTTTGAGGAAAAGTTTTGTCAAGGCATCGGATTGAAAATTCAGCAATTCTAAATATTAAATTTTAAAAATTTCCCTCCCAATGGATAAAAAATTTGAGGTGGGAAAAAATTAAAAGCTAAATAAATTGTGATTAAAAAAACACAAAATAAGCCAATTGGGCAGATTAGATACTTGGAACATATTTCTTCACGTCTTCCTTCAGATTCACCCATCCACTCACTGACTCACTCACGCAAACTTTTATTGAGCAAGCTTATGTATTTCAGATACAAAAATAAAATGGAATGGCCTCTATGTTGTGAAGGCTTGAAGTTTAGGATGAAGTGGGGCTGGCAAGGAAGAGAAGGAGAGTCAGATTTGTAAGCAGAGAATTGGCATAGTGACAGCTCCCAGGATCCTCTTTCATTTGAGCAGGATGACAAATATGAATAGAAGGATCCTTTGGTGACTTTCACATGCCTTGAGACTAAGTGGACAAAAATGTTCCACTGTCTGGATAGATGTGTTCTTGAACTTGTCGGTGGCTGTGCTGTCCATCGCCTGGTAGTCCTGCAGGCAGGACGTGGCCACATGACTGAGTTTGGGCCAGAGATTGATGTGGGAGTGTTGGGCAGGACACCTGGACAGGTGCCTGCCTTCCTCTGGGTTACCAGCACATCTCATTGTAATTGGATCATTGGAAATATAATCGACACTGGTTTTTGTTTTACTCGTATCTCTTGAGTCTTGTTTCCCTGTCAAGGAACTATTTTGATTAGAGGAATAAGGACCTGCTTTTTGCTCTAACTTTGGAGATAGGATTTTAGGGTTTCGACAGACAGAGATAGAAATAACATGATGAGCAAATCCAGCAATTCAGCCCCTTTCACACCAGCAAGAGTACAAGTCACCCACAAAGGTTACTTTTGAAGGTCGAAAGAGAATTGAAGTGAAAAGAATATTGATTAAACCAGAGGAAGCCGAAAAGGCTCTGTTCTTCAGGTAGACCCAAAGCGGCAGGATCCAGGTGTGTCATGTTAATAAAGGAGGCTAGAGACACACTGAGAGACAGCAAAAGTGAGAGGTGGGAAATGATCTTTCCATTATTCCCTCTTGGTTAGAAACCCCATTATATGCGCTATGGGCTCCCTGAACTCCTCTTTTGAGGAGAAAAGAATAGTGAAGTGTAATCCCATGTCTTTAAGTGCTATTTTGAGAAGGCCCCACTCACATCCCCATTTCCTTCCTTGCACCACTTGGATGCGTCCACTCCTTCCCTGGGTACGTCCAACTCTGAGCCTCACCTGAGTAGCTGAAAGTAGTTGGCACAAAAACCAAACAAACACATATGCCTTTTGATGTTCTTGTACAGGGTGCATGGCTATTTCCTTATCCTGCTGACAGAACAGAGTTCCCTCGCTCCTCCTCTGAACTGAACATCGGAAGGTTTGATCAGAACATTTAAATACCTAACACACATAGTTAGCCTTCCTGGGGTGCTCTGAGAAAACACGCAGGATAATCATCTGGTTACTTGAAGCTGCTAACTAGGGAAAAATATTCCTCTTAAATTAAAAAAAATAAGGCTTATTTGAAACTTAGGACATCAACTAAATGATTATACCAATGTTTTAAACATCTTCAGTTTAAGTGGTTTGGATATGCATGCGTTATTCTGTCTATGCTATTATTTTTTCTTAGAAAAACGTTTTCTAGGTAGTAGGTAGAAAGGAAACGTTAAACTGAATCCAGGTTCTTAATCAGTTGAATTCATTCATTCATTCAATTGATATTTCTTGCATGGACACTGTGAATGTGATAAACAGAGGGTTGTTTATTTATCGTAAAATTTGTGTAATGTTTGCCTTCTCTGCTGAGGCTAGAAGGCGGCCTGCCTTGCACACAGCTGTATCCTCAGAACACAGCGCAGGGCCTTACACGTGGTGGAAGCGTAATGCCTGGAGACCCGCTACTTCCACTGTCCAAACAACACAGATACTTGGGGCAGTTTGGGAAGGGCTGATATAACGTCTAGCTAGAAGGCTAGAAGAATTGGAAGGATGATGGAGATTCTATCAGGAAAAGGGATTGGATAGTCCAAATATGTATAAAATTCATGGAACAACTCTCCCACTCTCCTTGGGATATATTAAAAACACCTGGTCCTGTGTTAAATTGGGTAGGGGAAAGCTAAGCTTCCAGATTGTGATGACGTCACACACTGGGACAATTCCTGAGATAAATGAAAGCTGCTTCTTTCT